TGACAATTTATTTTATCGCGCAGTCAGTAGTAACAGGGACTAATTTACATTTTGGCCACCAAATGAAAACATTATGCTTGTAATGCGCATTTATCTGCTGATGATTTCCGAGAAGGTTAATGCGATATTACACTTTAAGTTGTATAATTGTGTCATCTTTCTGAAAAGCCCTGTTTGTAAGCTTATATATAAATTTGTTATATTTGGACAGAAATCGTTTCACCAGCAACAGCTCTTAAAATCAATTTAGAATACCTGTTAATTTGTATACTTTGAAGTTTAAGCGGTAAAGATAAAACTTAAGTGCTTCTTAAAACAACAAAATAGTATCTTTTAATATTCTAGTTGTCATTCCAAGAGAAATCATTTAAAGAATGAGATGTCAGTTATCACTAAAATGTTGTAAATGAAAGACGGACGATAAAATGTTAGGGTTTCAATATGGAGAAGATATATTTATGAGTATTATAAATAAAACTAAATGTCATTATCCATGTCCTTTTCATTGCACTTGATCTAAGCGAACTCCACATATCCCATGTGCCTTTAAAGCACTGCCACTTCTATTTAAGAGGCCTAGGGAAAGTACAAGATAGAGCCTGCCACAAATCGGCTAAACGATGTGTATAGTGGATAATGGTGGCAGGAGCAGGAGGAGCAGAAGCAGGAGGAGCATGAGCAGGAGCAGGAGTGGGAGGCGCAGGAGCAGGAGGAATGAAGAGGAGGAGGAGCATGTTTTACCGATTAACATATCCGGCGCTTATACCTGTGTACATTTCTGCCTGTACGAATGTACATAGCCACAAACATTCAGCGCTGTTTAATGTTTAATGTTTTATACTTTTTTGCTGTTTTAGTTTGGTTATATTTTTGTTGTGTTTTTTTGCGGCTGCCTAGCGCCATCTGATTGTCTGGCTGCATGTTCAGCGGCCATATTAATAATTTTCGAGGCGTTTTTTGATTTAGGGAGCATTTAAAGCGTGAACGACTGCATCAATAATTTCGCTTGCAATTTTATTGTGCATAAATTTCATTAATTTATAATTTTGGCCGTTGCCTGGCTGCGGCTAACATCCGACCCGCTGATCTCGCTTGCCAGTTGCCAGTTGCCAGTTTGCAGCTATATGGCTGTGCCCCTGCCACTTCACCTTGCCTCCGCGGCGGAGCATGGGGCATGGAGCATGTTGCGCCAATGTGTTGCCGCGGTCCGTCGACTGGGGCATAAATTATTTTCCGTAGTTTTGGCAGGCGCCCGATGACCGCGCGCTGCGTAGATTTCGCGATTTTGCGATTGCGCATAAGGTGAGGGTTATTCATTTGCCTGCGTATGGCGACTCCAGCTCCTCAGCTCCCCCAGCTCATCCCCAACTCCATCCTCGCCCCCATCGCTGCGAGGTCTGCTCTTCTTCGGTGCGAATCGCTGACCGCCTGTGCCGAAACATATGCACTGGTAAAAATAGGGGCGAGCCAATGATCGATGAAACAGTTATTACATATTTAGATATTTTTCTATATTCTAGGTATATTTTTTGAATTTAAAATTTTTTTTTTACCTCAAGAGTTCTTATATTTAGTGCTTATAACCAAAGAGAAATTTTTGGGGGTTTTGATTGTTCTCAGGATTTACAAACCAATTGCTGCAAAAGCATTGATAAACTTTCATACACAAACTTTCGACTTATTTCTTGGTAAGTAAGTTGCTCGACAGTTCCCCATAATCAAGCCCCTTTTCTCGCAGTGCAGACACATGGCTGATTTGGCTGTAGGAGTATCTGCGGTTGTTGCTGGCGTTGTCGAATTCTGGGCAGATGCTGTGGAGCTGCAGGCTTCATTGAGGAACTCGCGATTTGGCTCGGGCTTATGCTGGTTGTGTATGGAGTGTATGGTGGGAGCATAAGTATTTGGCTGGATCTGGAGAACGGAGAAGAGTCCTGCAACTGAGCAACTGGGCAACTGGGCAACTGGACAACTGGGCCCGGCATGTCGCCTGCAAATGTCTTCGGTTTGTGGCCGCGCAGTTAATTATAAACGCTTGGACATTTTCGCTTGAGTTCGCCTCGCATCGCATCGGTTTGTTTTCATTTCCAGATGCAGATTACATTATGATTTATGCAAAATAGTAAATGCGTCTGATGGCAACATGCGCCAGCTGCCAGACACGAAATCTCTGGCCAAGCCAACCAGCTCCTCCTCTTTGGGCCATGTTCGAGTGCAGCCATCGCGATCGGCAGCGGCAGCGGCAGCGGCATCGTAATCGGAATTAGATGTTCCACTAGCTGCACTACTCAAAGAACTCAGCCAATTGGCAAAGAGTGGCATTCTATGCTCATATACACATAATCGTATATCTCCATTGAATGGGAATGGGTGTATTTAGCGTACTGCGATTTTATTCGAGCCGATTTGAGGCCAATCGTAAAGCAGCGCCGTCCCACTGGCCGACAATAAATCAGGAGCGCCATGAAGAGCGGCCTCGTAAAAGTGCTTAAATTAATCATGCCGAATGTGTGTCCCGGCTTTACGATGCCCCGAACCATGGGGTGCCCCAACAGTCGCAACAGGTTGCCCCCGCTAAGCGCCATCCATTCCGATCATAGGCACCATAAACCATAAACGCTAACTTTACTGCTTAACTGCCCCGGATTGCCGGGCAGCATTTTGCAAAACGAGACGTGCATGTCCGGTTGGCCATATCTGTATCTGTATAGCTGTATCTGCATCTATATCTCTGGGTTGTATCTGCATCTACATCTGCATCCATCTGTCGTCGCCGATGGAAATGTACATGCACATGAGGAATGCCACCGGGAAAATGGCCAGCGCTTTATTAAATACTCACTTTGATTTAGCTGCGGCCAGGGCGCTGGAAAATTGCGCTTGAAATTGCATTGTTATTACATGTTTGGGTCAGCGCAAATTAAATTCCATATAGAAAAGCAATCTGCCCGGCGTCGAGTGTATTTATTTTACAAAGATCGCGTACGTGACAAGGGGGACGGGCTCGAAGGACCACGGCTACAAGATGTTTAACAGCGAAAATGTGGTGCAAGTTTACTGAGAGAGTCGGCAAAGGGTTCTGCGCTGGATATACGAGTGTATATAGGGGCAAGCCGAGTGCACTCAGAATCGCTATTAAATTAGTTTAGTGGCATTTAACTTAATCGCCTACAAGGGAGTTAAAATTTTCCTCTGCCCGTTTTTCGCTTTCGAGTTTTGCACTGCCTTTTGAGTTGCTCAAAAATTGGGCGGACGTGATTCGATTTTAAAGAAGCTCCCTGCGCTGATGGCAACAAGTGCTTTCGTCTTAATATCTTTGAATAGGCCACTCCACCTCGGCGTTTTGGCCCTTTCAAAACAACCTGCATTAAGGCCCAACTGCGCGCGTCATCAACTCGCCGATCGGCTGGCCAAATTGAGTTGTGCATCAAAAAAGCGACGGGTCCCTGGGGAAAATGCAACTGCATCGTGATGTCAGCGATGTGATACGGCTTCTGATCCCACTCCTGCTCCAGCTCCAGCTCCAGCTCCTGCTCCTGGCTCTATGGCGCTGCTCCCGAAGCGACATTCCCGATGCGTATGCTTAGTCCATATTCTTTGCATAAATCTCACCGATGTCCCCGGATGGACGGAGCTTGTAATTAAATTGCGACACGGGGCAGCTAATGGCGCCACAACATAGATTCGCTGGCAAACAAGCAGCCGGCATATGCATACAGACGTGCACTGCAAGAAAATGGTCCAGCAAAGTTAGCTCTTCGATTTTATCACACTTTTACTCCAATTAAGGGCATGCCAGTAACAAATTTTAAATCCAAATATAGCTTGGAGTACTTTCTTGTCGCAGACATAAGTTAGCTTAAATATTGAGATCGCTATCTTAACAGGGACTTAATTATGTTAATAGTTAAGCTTTGTTTTAGTATTAAGTGCTATTATTTTGAGATATGGCTTTTACCTTTCTCCCTGAACATAGATTCCTGATAATTTCGCCAAACTGCTATCTAAACTCTTCCCACTTCATTCATGATTTGGTAGTTGCTTATGTATCAGTCGTTTCTTTCTCTGTGCTATAGATTAAAGTGGGCAATTGTTTTTATCAGTGCACCCCATCGGCAGTGGAGATGGTCATGACAAAGCGGCGGGGACACGACCTCAGTTCAGTCGGAGCCTCAGCGTACAGGGCACGTTTCTCAATGAAATTCCAGACCGCTCTGGTCGAGCGTTTCTGTGTGTTCCACCGTTGTCTGCCCGGTCATCAAACATCGGACTGGGAGTCAGGAGTCGGGAATCGGGAGTTGGGAGTCGGGAGTAGGGAGTCGGAGCTGGAGACGAAGCTGGAGCCACAAAAAGTACTACGCTACTTGGGCGGCGGCGACACGAAATGAGTGGAGTGCAGTGGTTTAGTAGCCACCGCGGTTAATTAATTCTGCATGAAATTTAAGGTTTTTTGCGGCTCCGCAGCGCATAGTGCATATATGGCGAGTCATTGTCGCCGATCAGACGATGTTGGTCAGGATGTTGGCCACGTTGCTGCACGTACTCGGCTGTCTGTGGATCTCTGAGCTGCCCAGCTCCATCTCGAACTTCTGTCCGCTTTTGTGTCCCCCAGTGCTTGCTAATCAGCCGCACCTCATCAGTCTGGCAAATCAAGTCATTAAGTTAACCGAGTGCCAAATGGAGCAAATAATGCGGCATCTTGGGGGTTCGCCAGTGGGGCAGTAAAAAATCTCTCAATTAGTCAAACAATTAAATCAGCTATCGATCCGAACTTGAACTGATTCCATACCGCACATTACGTATTCAATTATGTACTCCATTTCACAGAGTTTTTTGCTCAATTGACTTCCTACTTGCCTCACATCTTAATTGTCTCATTGACTTTTAGCGTTTATTGGAAAGGAATATCTATATATTCTTGTGAATATCTATGCATTGGATTAGTAATATACAAAATATGTAAATATATTATATTAATTTACTTCCCTTCTTTTTAATTTCAGTGCCCAGCAACGGTAAGTTACTGACAACTTCTCTTCCCACCATTTATATTGCCATAATTCCATCTACCAATTTAATGCAAATGAATTCGCATACAACACCGTTTTCACGTTATAAAACAAAACAATTGACACGTTACTTTTTCAACCATTATTTCCGCGATCGTCAAGGACTTTTGTTTTGGTTCGAAACAAACCCGTTTTAATCGAAATTCATTATCTGCAGCATATTTTATTTTAACCACAAGGGTGCGCTCTCATTGCCACTTAATATAGGGGTAAATTTTGCAATTATCTTTTCCTTTTCGCGTAAATGCAACATGGTTATCTTGCCAAGTTTTTACACCAAGTATGCATACATTTTATTTATGAGCCAACTTGTGTTTTAGAAAACGCTCCACGCCTAAGTGCAGTGTGCCCAAGAATTTATGTTTAATATTTAACACCTAAATATAACAAACTATGGAAACATTGGCCCAACTAAATTTGATAATTTTGTTAATTAATTACTAAAAATTGCACCATATCCTCCCTGCTGGAATAGAAATATTTTTGCATTGCAGAAACTCAAAAACATACATTGAATTAGCTACTGCCATGTAGTCATTTGTGTTAACATTTAGATATATGGCACACGCGTGCTCGATATCTTGTTAATAGGTACGAGTATAAATGCACGAGCTGTTAAATGTCGCCGGCGGCGAGGAGGCACACACAATACACAATAAATACATAAAAAACGGGAAAAACAATAATTTAGCTTAACAACTTAATAACAAAAGAGCACTGTGCTGCGGATCACCTGTTCGTTGACGAGGATCGTCATTCCTTTGGACAGCAGTGAACCCTCATCGCCGCGACTACTGTGCAAGTGGATGGTGAACCAAAATATAAGAAACATACAGCAAAAAATCGCTAAAAAGTATAAGGAACCTAAGCCGCGGTCGCAGTTATGAGTTTCCACCTGTTCGCGAATTTATTGATTGCCACATTGACAAATGAGCCACCCTGCTGTTATAAAACCAATTAAAGGAAGGGTCCGTTTGCATGGCCGGCTCACTGGGATATTACGAATAAATTAGGTCTGGTGAGAATTAATTGGACAGTCGGGCCACCGGACACTCGGTGTGATATATAAATCATGGCAGCTATGCGGCCATAACAGGATTAGCCAGCCTCGAATTAATTTGGCTTAGTGAGCGAAAGTGCGTTCGCGGCGCTCAAAATGCGTCAGAATCCTGAATGCACTGGGAGAAATAGCCTAACGTTCGGTAAAGCACCAACAGCATATTTTAAAAACCACTTTATAGTGTACGTTTTATAACGCCTTTGAAGGCCAAGCTAAAAACTCCCAAACAGATTTTGCAATGTTGAAAAAAATCCCTTTTAAACTGAAGATAGCTAGCTAACTTTTCCACTACTATCCGTATTTATTTTACTATTTATTTATTATTTATTCAATGACTTTTTTTCTGTCATGTAACTTTTTCTCAGTGCGATGTGAGCCTAGTCGGATTAAAGTGCAAAGAGCTCTATAAATTACGAAGTTCCATTTTTATAGTAACTAGGTAAGCGATTTCTCGCAGTGCCTCCCTTTTCGCTGAGCGCACTAATTAGAGACACTCTCGGAGATGCCAATAAGTAGTCCCCGCGGCAGTGGTGGCCAGTGGCCAGTGGCCATTGGCCAGGAAAGAGCAGCTGCCAGAGCGGTGGACGCATCATTAATAATTCCGAGGGAGCGGCTAAGTCAGCCGCACGCATAATAACCACGATTAAAGCAAACAAGGCTCATTGTCGGTTAAATGACAAGTTTTGACAACTTGTGAAACGACAAGTGGCCAGCGATCGGCCCACGGACCAGTGCCCAGTGACCAGTGGCCAGTGGCCAAATTGGGCAGGGAGCAGGGAGCAGGGAACCGGGCGGAGGAACCCAGTTAAATTAATAATCCGCATAATTGGAGAACTTAACTGGCGGGCGCAAGAGAAAGAGAAAGGACATGGTGACGACAAAAAGAGCGTTATTTGCTTTGCGCTTAATATATCATTTAGATTGTTTGCCGCAGATAAAAACGCTGTGAAGACTTTTGGCTGTCATTATAATTCTTGTTTTATTTTATCGCGCCGGGTGATTATTGTTGTTCGCTTGTAAGGATTGTTAACTATGCTACCAGCATTCGGCTGACTGAATGGCGTGGCAATTAGACCTAGTTGTCGATTTGGTCAGCCCCGGTATTGATTATCATGCATTTATTACTCGCCCGGCATGAATCGAATATAATTGTTTCCATTTCACAATTATGTCCCACAAGACTGGCGGATTGCTTTCAATCGCTCTGGGAACTCGCACACCTTTCGCCTATGATAGCCCAACTAGATAGCCTGATTGCAGTCTTAAATGCCAGGGGTCAAATTATTTTCCCTGCTGATTCCAATCTTTCCGTAGGCCAACGCATAGCGATATTGTGATTTATATTGATTCCGGGCTAATGCTGGTACAGCAATTTAGGGCAAATTGTGGTCTTACTAAATATTTATAGTACTTGCGCAGTATTTGCATCATAAGCATCCACATAGTACATATATTTTTAATTACCATTTCCATTCTAACGCTTTCTTTTTCGGTCACTTACAACCATGTGCCAACATCCCCGATCGGAAATAAAAACAGGGCGTAAGTATGAACATGACCACTGTGATACGTAACTAGCTCGGAAAAACAAACACAAATTAAACTCTCATTAATGAAAAACATGACTTTGCTACTCATTATTTCAAGCTGCTGAGCTCTTGACAGTCGAAAATGGAGCGAGTGCACCTTTAATGATAAATTAATTTGCGAGTAATCTCCAGAGCACTCTGCTGCCCACCGATCGGCGACTCTGTGATCCAAAGTGCAATTACGGCAAGGAACAGCGAGTCTTAATTATAACCAGAGCTGGCCATGTTAAACATGACAGTTTTCGTGTCCTGGCGATTCATCAAAGTGACAGCTTCTGGGTTACAGCGGTCGCCGCTCTGTCAAGCGATACTCATGCCCGTTCCCGTTCCCATTCCCATTCCCAAACCCATTTTCATACCCATTCCCCTCTTATCAGCGCTATATCGAATTTCGATCAAAACGCCTCCGGGCGACGGAACGTTGGAAAACAGGCGCTCGACTTTTGGCGCTAAACGAACATCCGCACAGCGGAGTCACTACGTTTGCCACTATGCCCCCTGCACTTGGCTGCACTTCATCCAGTAGCCCGCATCGGAATTCCAGTTCCGACGACCCTCATTATCATACGTAGTTGGCACCATTAGGGCTTTTTGGCACAGGATCTTTCGAGCAGGAGCAAGGACACTCGCTGGTATGACTAGCTGCAGTTTCGTCCTGCGGATATTCGCGATATCCATCTGCCAGAAAAATTAAGTGAGGGGCTGTAATTGCCGTTGAAGCTGCCTCCTGGATGTGTTATTAACTTGTTAAGCGAAAATGGCACATATAATGGCCACTTGTCGGTCTTATCCAAATCCTGCCCAGAGGATCCTTTTGTCCTCCTTTTTTCTACTTTTTTTGCTGTGTGAGGAAGTTAAATTTGTGTCCGCTTTTCTGAGTGGTTTTGTGCGCCTTTTATTAATTATGCTTTCTGTTTTTATTTCATTTTATATTCCCAACGGATTTTGCGGAATGCAGTATGTGAGTATTACAAGTAACTTATATATAACACTTTAATCCTGCTAATTAAATGCTAGCTTAAGCTTGTGGCAATATATTTGCCTTACAACGAACTAAAATTGGAAGAAAATCGCATGTTCCATAAATCTACAAATATTTCATATGCAATAATTATATAATAATAATTTTACACTAGGAATAGAAGCATTTTAAGCTTAGATAATTGTTTGTAAGTCTGCGTATCTGTTTTTAGGCATTCTGCAACCAATTGAAATGTTAGAGATTTGGCTTTATACAATTAAGTATCTAGAATAATGTCGAGTGTGTCGAATAAGCCGGTCGTGAAAGCCTTGGAAAATGCTGTTTTTAGGCACCTTGAATAGTCCTTAAGAACACCTCGCACATTAAATGCTGTGTGAGATATTCGCAAACATCCTTTTATGATCATGAAGCAATAACGGATCAGCAAACACGGTTAAATGTCGCACGACCTAGGTATTGGAATCTCGGCTGCTGGAATTTCTGGCCACTTGGGTATGCGTATGCAGTGGGATGCGAAGCGAGGGCAGGAAGGATTCCGCATCCGAGTCCGAAACTGAATCTGAATCCGCAGTGGATGGAACGGAGGATGGCGGTGGAGGCTTCGGAGGATTCGGAGGATCCGGAGGAGAGGCAAATCGCTCTGTTTGCTTGCGGTGTGCCAATACAATGCCACAGCTGAACGAGACACAAGAATTTATGGCATTTCACTTTCAAAGACACAAAATTCCTGTCCCTTGCCACCATTAATGGAATGGACAATAAATTTAAACGTGCAGACGGACAACGTGCCATATGTAAAAAGGCTCAGACACTGTAGCGGCAACTTCCCGAAATGGCTAAAATCGCTCCGCAGCCCGCCAAACTGCGCGTGAGACGATTTGTAAGCCCGGCCCAAACCGGTCGCCGCCAAACCTTTCAGCATCTGCCATCCAGCCGGCTAACAAGGCGATAATCCTCGGACAATGCCAACTTCGATGCGAATCTCGGCCCTTTTATAATTAAACGCGGGCTGGGAAAGATGACGTCGACTTGGTTATAAATTCTATGTCCTAATAACTGAGTGATAGCAATTGGAACCTAAATGACACAGTGAAGTAATTAGCTAATTAGCCAGTATCTTAAACTTATAAAATAGTAATTTTGCTTTTCAAATCCTAGCCTACACATTTACCAAAATCATAGGTTTTTAATTTAGTTCGTCGGAAAGAAACAGGCTACCAAACTTTTAAGCACTTTTAAATGCTACTCTCTGAAAAATTAATAGTAATAGTATTTCCATTAGTAATTAATCATATTTTATTAAATAGAATATATTTCACGTTGCATATCGCCTAAAGGTTGCCCCAATAGAAATCAATCAAGATAGCAACAAATGCGAATCCGCTGATTGTTTAATTGTTTTCCCAGAGCAAACTCAGTTTTTGCCACCATGTCGCATCGGTTGAGAATTTAATTCCCCTTATCTAATGCGCTAAAAAATGCGCTAATTGAATAGAGACGAGTCGCAGTATCACTGTAACCAAATTATACTCACATTCCGACGCTCTCCCAGAGATTACCAGATGCCCAGCACCGCTGCCCACTCCGCGATTCCCAACTGGCAGCTCCTGGCCGTGATCATTGGTTGTGGTCGAAAGACAATGGACGAGATTAAATGCCAGGCTGGGCAGATTAAGATGCATCGACAGCAATAACTACGTCAGCGGCGGGAGCTGGGAGATGGAGCTTGGAGATGGAGATGGAGCTGGATGAGGATGTGGATGTGGATGTGGATGTGGCTGTGGAGCTTCTTAAACGGGAGACACGAAACAAATTTCCCTTGAAAAGAATTACATACCGATCGCCTGGATCGGCCAGACTATGGGAATTGACTGAAGCTCTGAAACTCTATTTGTTCGAAGCGATCTTGGGCCGTTCCGTTTGCGATCTTCCGATCTCTCCATCGTTGGATCTTTGTCGCCGTCCAGGACGTCCAGAAAGTCAGGAAAGTGACCGTCTTCATTGTCAACACATGGAGGATACATACGTGGGCTGCAGTGCGGCGGCAAACAATTCTATAGAAAATCAGACATGCACCGCCGCGCGCCGATGGAAATGCACTGGTGGTGGCGGGATCTGGCCAAGATCTGCCGTCCAAGATGCTCCAGCTCCGCTCCAGCTCCAGCTTCAGCTTCAGCTCCAACGTTCAGCTGCAGTTCCGTCCAGCCAGCAAATGGCTTATCGCAGTCGGGCGAATCGTTTTGCCATACTAAATTATTATGTTAACATGAAAATAATTGAGGCAACAGGCATTCGGCGGTGGCTGGCCAATTTATTTATATCGCGGAATCTCGGATACGGCAGCTGGGTCGAAGCCCCAACCCCAACCTCAACCTCAACCTCGTCCGCGTCCTCGGATCTTCGGGTTCGGCGGTCCAGGGGCCAATTGATGGCGGTACAAATAGTTCCAGAAGTGGGGCATCTGCGTCGCGATTGGGACACCGACTGCCGTTCGGATGGCGTGTTCACAATTAATCCCTCAACAAATATCTGTGAAAACTCGAAAATGGAAGCTTGCATCAGCGAGATGTAGCTAACATTAAATTAGTTGGTTTGCAATGGGGTCATCGCTACTCAATACAAATGATAAGTTAACAGAATTAAATGTAATTAAATTTAATTTGAAAATTAATTTAAAATCCAAACGCTTTGTAATGTAATGCCGCTGAATACTCATATGTATAATAGAATAAGACAGTTCCAAATGCCTTTAGTATATAACTTTACTAATGATTTAGCTTACGGTCTGCTGCTACGAAATTTAAAGAATTCCCATAGAAAGACGTACTAATCCCATACTAATTCCTTTCAGACCGCTTTGCACTGGGCAGCCAAGCACGGAAACGAAGATGTGGTTAAGCTAATTGCCGGCACCTACAAGGCGGATGTGAACGCCAGAACGGTAAGCGATTTACCTGAGATGCAGACGTGTAAACTTCAAGATATTAAAATGCCCTTTATTCCATGTGATCGCCTGCGCCAACTGTTCGCCAACTTTGCTGCAGAACGGGGTGAGTGTGATATGGACGTACTATGTATCTATTGGGGAAATTTTAATAATGTACGAGAACCGACTTATTGGCTTGTCCCAGTCGCGCGTGAATCTGCGTCATATGTCACAGAATCGCGGCGGAACATAACCCTTTCCCGGCGGAATTCTGCATTTTGGATAGGGCAGGCTGTGACAAATCATGACGAGCATATCCAATTGGTCCTCACCAGCCTGTCACCTCCAAGCCAAACGCAATCCTTTCGAGTTTACAAAATTTTAAATTGAACGCCGCTTTGTTCCGGCGAAATTAAACTCACTCAATTGTATTCAAATGTCACATCCACATTTGAAACAAAGTGAATTGTCAATCACAATCCGCAGGATTCGATGCGCCTCTTGCCAAAACAAAACAAAAACGAACCCCAAAATGGCAAAACACGCATTTGTAATTCACATGGGAATTTAGAGCGATTTAGCTCAGCTTCATTTTGAGTTACTATAATATTTCAAATTATTTTGTAAGCTTTACTTGCATTTACTCATTTACTTTTATTATTATATCTTTTATTTAGGGATACACGCCTCTACATTTGGCCACCCAATTCGGTAGAGATAATATCTTTGAACTACTGTGGAATGTGTACAGTAAGTATTAATATTATTACTAACATAAGAGTGCAACAAATATGTTACCAAAAGTAAAAATAATAACTAATATTTATTAATTGTTATATTGCTTGAAACACTTTATAAATAAGGGTTAAGTGGGTTTGTTGTGGGTTTTATGTGCAACTTATCCAATTAGAAAATTGTTTGCCGCAAATTGCGGTGTGCTGACATTTGCACAAGTTTTTTTGCGTTTTTGCCAAACTAGTAAATTTGCCTTGCATGATACAAAAAAAAAGGAAAACGAAATGGATCATAATTACGCGGAAATATTAGGCGGTTGTCCCAATAAAGGTCACAAGGGTAAAGGGCTCTGAATAGGAGAGATTTATTCTAAAAATGAATAGTTAATAGAGGGATTTCTTGGCTCCTGAAGTATTGCAACCAAGCCTTACCTGTTTTATCACTCAAAGATTCACTCTTCACATTAAGAATCGCAGAGAACAGCTCTGTTATTAAAATGCTGTTAGCGTTAGAAATCTGTTTTATCACTTACTTCTTCACAATGAGAATCGCAGAGAAGAGCTCTGTTAGTAAAATAATGTAAGCGTTAGAAACCTGTTTTATCACTCAAAGGGTAACTCTTCACATTCAGAATCGCAGAGAACAGCTCTGTTATTAAAATAACGTTAGCGTTAGAAACCTGTTTTGTCGCTTACTTCTTCACAATGAGAATCGCAGAGAAGAGCTCTGTTAGCAAAATAATGTAAACGTTAGAATCCTGTATTATCACTCAAAGGGCTACTCTTCACATTGAGGAGCGCAGAGAACAGCTCTGTTATTAAAATAATGTGAGCGTTAGACAGTCCGAAAATATTCTTCAAATACATTTTGACATATTGGCCCTCCGAAATGCACTCAAAGTCCAAAGTAAAACTTAAATTGAAATGTCAAGTGGCAGAGCTCTATTCTATTAAACAAATATGAATCCTTTTTGTGCCAATCCTGCAGAGGCCAATCGGGACATCATGGACTGGAGCGGCAACAAGCCACTGGACTACAGTCGCCAGCGGTCGAGTGTCTCGGCCTCGACCTGCAGCAGTGAGTATGAAAAGTATTTCGTCGGTGGGGCGGTGAACAGCAGCCTCCGCACGATGGGATTCATTGAGAGTAGTCAGATCACCGGCGGCACACTGAGCAGTGCACTAACCCGGGGCAAGAAGCGGGCCCAGAATCGGTTTGCCACCATCAGCGGTGGTTCGCTTGGCGGCGGCGGAGGCGGTACAGTGTCCCGCTCCCAGTCGATGATGGTCAGCCGGCGGTCCAAGAAGACCACCACCGAGGACAGCGATCTGTTGCCCTGCGAAATGGAGGGGCAACCGGTGCGTCGCAAGGAGAGCTTTCTCCGCAAGACCTTTCGAGCCACCGCGGGTGGCAGCCGTCGACCGTTGGCCAAAGATGTTTTTACTAACCCACCGGAGCACGGTTAATTGGTACACCGACTTCTCCCCAAATCTTTTAACTGCACTTACCCTTCCAATATTGCGCTAATGTATATAGCTCTATGTCACAAAGTTACAACAAATTGGTTGAGGCTGAACTAAAGTTATATTTTACACTTTTACACTGTAAATGATCCGGTATCTACATATGGAATTTTGTAATATAACTAAACTTCACTAGCTTTTAAGTACCAAAGCATGGCCCTACCATAATATATATTTTACCAAGGTGTATTAACCTACTTTAAGTAATCACACGTTTATGTACATATTTATAAATAATCGCATGTTTATCGGAAGGAAAAACATAATAAAATATTGGAGCCTCAAAGCCTAAAGCATTAATTTATGAATAAGTCGTATAAACCTAAAAAACTTAACTCAGTTCACACAGAGAATGCGCTTTCGAAAATAATAGTATCGACCCTCGTTGCAAACATCCATCAAACTTACTGAAAAGTATACAAACCTAAAGTCGAGCTAGTAATTAATGTAAAATGGGAACCTATCTATCTATCTATTTCCAATTTTGCTGCATGTAGAGATTCAAGCGATGCGATTCAACGGCGGACTCAACGGAACCTGGAGGCAGGTTGAGATCTAACGATCCTGAGTATTTTAAACTAATTAGTGTTGATTTTATACGGTGTTCAATTTATTTGCTAACTTAACATTGAATTTGCAACATTAGCTTTTATATTTAGCCTGTATATATTTAGCTTTTTGTACTTTGGTAGCTTTAAATCTTGTATTTTAGTTATATTTTGCTAGCATTTGAGTTGCATTCCCGTTTGCGTTGCTAAGTTGGTAAGTTTTCTTTATATTATTTGCGTTTATCCACATCGCCTGCATTATTTTATAATTATTTTCAAAAGTCCGCTAACCCTAGGCATATTTTTCAGTTTATGCACGTTCATTTGTTACGACCATTATTAAAATGCATAGATAGTAATGAATTTGATTGGTTTTGTCTACTTTGCAGAAATCAAGGCTCGCAAAAAGCATGCAAGTAAGTCATTTTAGCTTGCAAATTAAATTGTATGATTGAGTTTTCAATTTTCCATTGCAGTCGAAAAAGATTTGGGCTTCCTACGGATTGGTTCACTGAATGTCCGGGTAAAGAAGACCACCGAGGCGTTCAGCAATTTCTTGGGAGTGGGCAATGGCAGTGGGGTGGCTCCGACGGGCTACGGCAATGGCGGGGGAACGGGAACGGGAACAGCAAGTCGCCATCACCCTCGATCTCACCGAGCCCCTCATCAGCGTCATCATCACCACGTTGGTACGACACGGAGTCGCCATCCGAATCAGAGGGCAGCGATGAGCACACCATACGGAACGAACGGCGGCCTTCCGTCGAGGGCGAGCGTACCCAATAACCGGAACATCTACGACGGAGTACACAAGTCTTGGGGATCGGCGGACAACATACCACATCGGTCGGAGGAACTAATGCCGCCGCCCAAGACGGTCGACTATATCAGCAAGCGGAATAAGTCCTCGAAGCGTTCGTCCTATGCATCGAACACCACCGATTCGCCGCGTGACTCCATCTGCTCCTCGAACTCCAGTTCGAATCTCAATGGCGGATATAGCAGCATGCCCACCACCCCGAATCAGTTGCGTGCTCCTAAGGATATCGCCGCATCTTTCGCCGTGGATTCCGACTCGGACTCCGCCTGCGGATTCGACTCCAGCTGGTCGGTCAATTGTCGCGGTTCTTCGAGCAGCAATCCGTCGCAATCCTAAATACCTGAATACTGTTGTTAACTCAGCCTGAATGTCTACATACCACACAACTTTTAGCATTGACCATGTAATCATGAAAGTATTTGTTTATCAGCTAACTAAAGTATTTTTTAAGAACTGACTTTAAAATTTACAGTTTCTTGTGTTTGTAAAAGTTTAATTTAAAAGAATCTAACATTTGTTATTTCCTATTTTGCACCTTTTTATAGGGACTATATAATATATCATATGTGTATTTTTGATTTGAAATTAAACTTGTATGCTTTTTAAGGCATTTATGAAAAATCGTATTAATGATTTTATTTGGTATTACTTCTAATAACAATATATCTGTTTTATTAATTATATTTTAATCTTATCAATACATTGAACTTAAAATACAGAATTTGATTTTGTGTTGCGCGCGCCGTTTTAAATGAACCCGTTAGGACATTTCTCACAGTTCCGTAGAAAGTGCTCAAAATATGGTATTCTTGAAAACACCTCTTCTTCTTTTATTTATAAACGATACACGTGCGGCTAAAAAAGTTTGTTGACTTAAACTTCTGAGCCGAACTAAACCAATTAACATGGGCAAAAAGGACAAAAACAAGAAGAAGGGCAAGGGAGCCGAGAAAACCGCCATGAAAACGGACAAAAAGCAGGCGGCACGGCAAAAGAAAATGCTGGAAAAACTGGGAGAAGTACAAATCAAATGCAGCAGCCATCATATAATGTTTACTAATAAGATAAAACACTTTACAGGCAAATATAGCTGATATCATCCAATTATTGGAGGCCAAGGAGGGCAAGATTGAAGCCATCAGCGAATCCGTTTGCCCGCCGCCAACTCCCCGATCCAATTTCACCTTAGTTTGCCACCCGGAAAAGGAGGAACTTATCATGTTTGGCGGAGAACTTTACACTGGCACAAAAACCACAGTGTATAACGAGTTGTTCTTTTACAATACAAAGACCGGCGAGTGGAGGCAGTTGAAGTCGCCATCAGGACCCACGCCCAGAAGTGGACACCAAATGGTGGCTGTGGCCAGCAATGGAGGAGAACTCTGGGTAAGTTATCCATAAAATCCCTATCTCTATGAAAAGTTATTAGCATATGCGCTCCATAGATGTTTGGAGGCGAGCACGCCAGTCCCTCCCAGCTGCAGTTCCACCACTACAAGGACCTGTGGAAGTTCTCACTGAAATCCCGCAAATGGGAGAGGATAACTGCGCCCAATGGACCAAGTCCGCGAAGTGGCCATCGAATGACCGCCTCCAAGAAGCGCCTGTTCATCTTTGGTGGCTTCCATGACAACAACCAGTCGTACCAATACTTCAATGATGTCCACATCTTCTCCTTGGAGTCCTATCAGTGGCTTAAAGCTGAGATCGGAGGTGCGATTGTGCCATCTCCTCGTTCTGGCTGCTGTATTGCAGCTTCTCCGGAGGGAAAGATCTATGTTTGGGGAGGTTACTCGAGGGCCTCCATGAAGAAGGAAGCGGATAGAGGAGTAACACACACGGATATGTTTGTCTTGAGTCAAGACAGTAAGATTAAAACTATTTGACTCATATTCCTTACACTAACATCTCTTGTTTCCATTCAGAAAACGCTGGCGATGCGGATAATAAGTACAAGTGGGCACCCGTGAAACCGGGCGGATATAAGCCGAAACCGCGAAGCAGCGTTGGCTGTACTGTGGCTGCGAATGGGAAGGCCTATACCTTTGGAGGCGTAATGGACGTCGATGAGGACGACGAAGATGTCCACGGACAGTTCGGCGATGATCTCCTGGCCTTCGATTTGACCGCCCAAACATGGAGATTGCAGGAGATCCAAGCTAAGAGCAGCCCCGCTGAGAAGAAGGAATCGGAGGAGAGCAAAGATGTGGAGATGTCCGCTGTTGATAAGCCAGTGACCACCACCACGGATGGCATTTTCACGGTCACCGTTGGTGGTCCCAGTACCAGCACGCCATATGTGTCCAACATACCCAGTCTGTTCGCCAAACCCAAGACCACCAACGTGCCATCTCCGCGAATGAATCCCGGAATGTGCGTTTGCAAGGGAACGCTGTATATTTTTGGCGGGATCTTCGAAGAGGACGCCAAGCAGTTGACCTACAACGATTTCTACTCCCTGGACTTGCACAAACTGGAGTGGAAGGTGATAATCCCCAATAGCTTGAGGGCCCACGAATGGGAGGATAGCGACAGCAGCAGCTCTGACGAGGAATGCAGTAGCGGCGAGGAGGATAGCTCCAACAGCTCGGACATGGACACGGATTGATAATTTCAAATGACTATATATTAAATTTTGGTTAACAACTGTACACATGTATAAAAATGGAATATTTTTAACAGCTGAGTAAGCTCGGAGTTCTCACAGCTCCAGAATCTCAGTGAGGATGCGTTGCGTATCCTTGGGAGTATATACCCTATGACTAATGGTTCGAGGATCGCTATAAATCTCATAGTCATTGCCGCCCGGCTCCGTCTTATCACCGAAAAAGTGAATTTCCTTGAACTTGTAGTGGGCTTCGATGTGTCGCAGACAGTAGGTCTTATCCCAGCCGTGGGGGAAGACATCAAAGCTGATCTGACCACCAATGGAGTACGTGAGATCCACATCGGCAAACTCCTGCTTCAGGTCCTTGATCATTTTCTCCCGCACCTTGTGCTCAATGTCGTATTGGGCGAACATGTTTCGCTCCTCCCTAGTGCACTGCCTTCCAATGGGACACACGTTCATCATGCCATTCCGGAACTCAATGAAGGTGCCCCTCTTGATCGGCACATCCAGCTCGGATAGGTAGCGGAGAACAAAGTTGATGAAGCGCTTCAGGGTCTGCTCCCCCAGATGCGTGATGATGTTCTGCTTTCCCACCTCCTCTCCGCCCTCAATCTGTACCAGCCCGTTTTCCGGGAATATGAAGTCGAACTCGTTGAGGATCTTTCTGCCGTTCAGCTGCTCGAACATCTTCTCCAGATCCGATCCTCCGACGATTCCGATGGTCGCCCTGGGTTTCACCTGCGAGTAGAAAAACTCCTCGAACTCCGGAGTCACCATGGATCTGGGCATTGTTAGGGTGCCGTCCACGTCGAAGAGCAGCAGGATCTCATCACGCTTCAATGTTGCGGTGCTCATTTTGAATTCGACTTGTGGTGAAGCCGCAGGTATTTATTATCCAGATATTTATGTCCACGTATGATTCGAGATAAAGAACCTGGTAAGCGGCAGCGAATTGGTGAGAAATCCCCTAAAGCTTTCGATGCACCGGCAGAGAACCAGTTCCGGAACCAAAGTGCACTCAAAACTTGTATTTTAAATTCCGCATTAATACTACATTTAACTTCATTTGTAGCTAAAAAAAAAATATCAATTTAAACATGTAAGCAAATCCATGCGGCTTTTCCAGAACGCAATCTAACTTATAGAGTTCATGCTGTCAGAGGTCAAGTAGCTTGTATTTAAATAGGAATATGTACATTGCAGCTCTTTATCGAGTGAACTAGAATACACATATTTGGGCTCTTAAGTGTGCTTAAGTGTAACATAATTGGGGGTTCTACTGCCTTTTTATGTGCTGCAGTTCATCTCGCTTAATCTTGCTGTATTCCTGCAGGGTTTTGTATTTATCGGTGTTCAGCATCGGGTCCACAATCACAGGGTATAGCGTCAGGCCCACGGCGCCAATGATGCAGGACACGAAGCCGACGAATCTCCATCCACGCAGAACTGCCATTTAGCTGATTAAATTGAATGTTTTAACTGATTGCTCGGTTTGTTATTATAAAACACAAAACACCTGGTTGTTCGTAAGATGCTAGAAAACGCCAAAGGAATGGTCACACTACAGTGCTGTGCTTATGGTAAAATACAGTAATACCATAACTAGACTATAAAGGTACAATATTAAAAGCAGGTGTGTTTCAGGATAGTTTTCAATAAAAAATAATTGTTTTCCTTTGAATTAAATATTTTTTGGGAAAACTTGAGAAGAGTAGAAGTTTAAAATAAGATAACAGCTTCCAAGCTTAATTTAAGGATGTAAAATATAAATATCTTAAATGTATGTTCGTTGTTTAAATCTCACCTAGCCAATCCCCACTGTAGGTAACTGTTGGTATTTTTTGAAGTTATTCGCTTGTTATTCCTCCCCCGCTCTGGTAACACTGGCTTTCTTAAGCTGGGCTTGGGTGTGGTGTTTTGTTTGAGTAATTGTTTTGTAGATCTTTTTAGTCGATATTATTATTACTTATATCCCGAATATGGCTAGAAGCCTCGTTTTTGCGGCTCTAGTCGGCGCTTTATGTTTTACGCTCGCCAACGGTAAGTTGCGGCAGGAAAGCGAGAATCGCCGATTTCTAGGGCGTTGGTTGGGCGATGAATGTAAACCACGATTTTACAGCACAACATCACTACGATGAGCACAAGACCACACGGATGGTGTGGTGCACCAAGAGCCAGGAGGAGCAGTACAAATGCCAGAACCTGACGGTGGCCATCGAACGGGATCGAGCCCTTTTCGACGAGGTGTTCCTCAATCTCACCTGCTTCATGGCCTACAGTGCGGATGAGTGCATCCACCACATCGATCGCGAGAAGGCGCACATCACCACGCTGGATGCGGGAGATGTGTTCACTGCCGGACGGTACAACTCCCTGATACCCATCATGCAGGAGAAGCTGGAGGGAGGCTTTGCGGACTATCAATCCGTGGCCGTCATCAAGAAGGGATCCCTACCTGACTTGAATAATCTGCGCGACATGCGCAACAAGAGGGTCTGCTTCCCCTGGGTGGGCAGCTTGGCCGGTTGGATTGTGCCCATTCACACGGTGAGAATTGCACTCCTTCTTAAATAAATAACCTAAATAATTAAAAATTACCAAAGTATCTAAAGCATTGAGATTTGTAGTACCATGTCTAACAACCAAAATGAATCATTTTGCAGCTCCAACGGGAGGGAGGCATGGAAGTAGTGGACTGTAACAATCAGGTGAAAACGGCCGCCAGCTATTTCAATAATTCGTGTGCTGTATACTCGCTATCCGACAAATACAACCCCATTGGCGACAACTCTGATAAGTAATGAATATTGAAAGCCCTATTTCCCGCACTTTATCTAACAACAAACCATCTTCCAAACCAGGCTTTGTACACTGTGCACTGGAAAGATCCCCGGAGGACGTTGCTCGTCTGCAGATCCCTACTTTGGCTACGAAGGAGCCTTCAAATGTCTGCTGGAAAAGGGAGATGTGGCCTTTTTGCGCCATTCGACAGTAAATGAAATGCTGCAAACCACCGAATTCAGTGAGTCACCAGTGTCAGCCTTCTGAAAACCCATTACTGAACTAAGCTGCATTTTTAGAGAACATATCACCCGACACTTTTGAGCTGCTCTGTCGTGATGGTCGTCGGGCCTCCATCAACGATTATCGTCAGTGTAATTGGGGTCAAGTTCCCGCCGATGCCATTGTCACATCTTCAGCTCGCAGCTTCAGCGATCGAAAGCAATATCAGCAGTTCTTGAAGCGCATCGGCGAGTTGTACTCCGATGGCACCCGGGATGATCAGAGTAGGTTGGGAGGACAAGGCTTCAACAGCCGCAACAACTACAACGAGCAAAGCAACCGCAACAGCTTTAACGACCAGAACGGCTACGGGCAGTACGACAATAACGATCCCTACAGAACGCAGAATCAATACGACCAGTATCGCAGCGAACGATTGGACAGCAGTTTTTCGGAGGAAAGAAACCAGCAGGATGGCACCAACACTTCCATTCTCTATGAGAAGTTCCGCATCTTTGAGTCGAAACGATATGGCAAGCCAAATTTGCTGTTCCAGGTATGTGGATGATATCTCCCGTGATCTGAATTACATATTCTACATTCAATTGTTCTATTACAGGATTCAAGCCGTGCTCTAACCGTCATTCCTGAAGATGATCAGTCGTTTACCAAGTACCTAGGCCCTGCCATTAACTTCATCTACGGCATCCGTGAGTGTCCAGTTTCAGCGATGACGCTCTGCGTGACTTCGGAGAATGAGCTCGATAAGTGCATTAAAATGAGGGTGAGTTGAAGCTTGAATTTGTAGTCATCAAGGTCAACTAATTGAACCTTTATAAAATCCTCTTAGACTGCCCTGAAAGCTCACCTTCTGAAACCGGAACTCATCTGCAAGAAAATGCACTCGCACATAAACTGCATGCAGTTCATCGAAGCGGGCAAGGCAGACATCTCTGTTTTCGATGCCGGAGATGTCTACACTGGCGGTTTGAACTACGACCTGATTCCCTTCATGTCGGAGGTGTACAACCTGGGCGAGCCGGAGTATTATGTGGTGGCTGTGGCCAAGGAGGATGATCCCGATACGGAGCTAACTTACCTGAAGGGCAAGAATACCTGCCACACGGGCATTAATACCGCCGCTGGATGGACCTATCCGATGGCGCATTTCATCTCAAATGGATGGATACGTCCCTACGGTTGCGATTCGGTTCGAGCTGCCGCCGAGTACTTTACAAAGTCGTGTGTGCCGGGTGCCATTAGCAATGAGTACAACACAGGAGTGCCCTACGACAGCATGTGCGATCTGTGTCACGGAACTAGCTACCGATACTGTCGTCGCGATGCCTCGGAAGATTACTATGGACATACGGGTGCCTTCCGTTGCCTCGTCGAGGGCGGCGGTCACGTGGCCTTCATGAAGCACACCACGGTGATGGAGAGCACTGGCGGAAAGCGCAAGGAATGGTGGGCTAGGAATGCTCTAAACGATGACTTCGAGCTCCTCTGCACGGATGGCACTCGTGCCGAGATCCAGGAGTACAAGCGCTGCAACCTGGGAAAGGTTAAAGCCAATGCCGTGGTGACTCGCGGCGGTGTCAACTACAATGAGACCCAGATGAATGCCTACATCAACCTGCTGACCTATGCCCAACAGCTGTACGGTCGAAAGGAAGTGGACGCCTTCAGTTTTAGCATGTTCTCCTCGCCCATCGGACACTACGATCTGATCTTCCAGGACGCCACGCGGCAGTTGCAAGTCATTCCGCCCAATAAGCGCAGATACGATGCCTACTTGGGCAGCGATTTCATGCGCGCTCGCCGCATCACCGATTGCTATTCAGGTGCCTCCCAGGTGGCATTATCCATGGGTCTGCTTCTCGTGGGCTCTCTGGTTGCAATGCTCTAATTCACTAAACTCCCTTACTTACATAGATTTCAGAATTGTACAAGCATCTCTAGCACAAAGAGAAACATATCAATATTTTTACATTCCAAATATGATTAGATTTGGATCGAGATCCCTTCCGTCCGAAAATGAAACTCAAACTAGATTTTCTCTAGCCGAAAAAAACTAAAGAAGGCTAATATTTAATTTATAAAGTGCCTGTGCCTTATTATAGTGTTTGTTTGTGTACGTAGCAACTAAGTCCGTCCAAAAAATGTACCTATGTACGAGATGTAAGCCGAATCCTTTACAACCGCTTATATAAGTATACAAATAAAATAATGTAAAAAAGGAGTTATTGGACCTATTTTGAATTCAGAGTGTATTTCACATAGGTATTTTTATTTTATATATAAAATATTATGTTTAAGCCATGTATATCCATTCAAGGAATCCTATTATCTTGACCGCAATTATTGCCGCCAAATTCGAATTGGTATTACGCTGACATTACTTTAGAACAAAGCTGCTTTGAAATATTCGCTGCTAAATGTTAAATTTAACCATTACAGAGTTCGTTCTCTGTAATGGAAATGAAGTTAGTAAAACTATTGAAATTAAAGAAAATAACATAATTGCACGGCTCAGCACAGTGTGACCGTACGGCAGCAGGAGCGATGCGCTTAGCAGGGTGTAACGGTGCCGCGAACCGACGGTCACACCCACCAGCACACATCTGTGGAATTGGTAAATTTCGAAAATCCGGAAAAACCGGACGGAACCTTTCACCTTGCTCTGGACCAGTGGCACCACCCTCGAGTATCGCAAGATGTCCATTAATCTGCGCACCGTGTACGCGTTCGCCCGCGAGATGTACCCAAAGACCTCCAAGGAGACCATCCAATACGGAACAGCTGGCTTTCGCGGCAAGTGAGTTGCCTCCCTTAACGATCTTTGCGCTAATAATCATTATGCTAACACACCCACACGCTGCACACGTTGGCGCATTTGATTAGCATACAGTGATTGTTTGTTTTCTGATAGATGGGCAATTGCAAGGGCCGTGGTTCGGGATTTGGGCGTTTATTTTTAGACATTCTTCACCTTTTATCAATGGACATGCCCTTCTTTCGCCGCCTTGCATGTATGTGCGTGCATGTGCATGGGCGCATACATACTGACGCACAGTCGGGGTCAGCGCACTAGTGCCACAAGTGCAAGTTGCAAGTTACAGGTCTAAATAAGACTAACTCCTTTAAGTTTAATATACAAATATAATACATGTAATGTGGAAATACCATTTTTAAAGCTAAATAATTGCATGTTTTTGAAGGTAGCTCGAAGTAGATATATGAAGAATTTACAGATCTAAGAAATAGCAATTTCTGAAAAAGAACCAACCAAATATTTGTATGTAAAGTTTGTGGTTTCTGTGCCTTATTTTCTAACCACCATACAGCCAGATAACAACGTTTGCATGACACACCTACTGATAAAAGCAATTGCAACTAAAATGAGCAATACTGTGTTTCTATAGGCTTATCAATCCAGCGATAGCAATAGATACATAGTTAAAGTGATGATAAACACATAAATATACAAACTCCGCATACCCAAAACCCTGTAATATGCCTCCTAAAAGATACATTTGCATCTACATATATAAACCAAATGTAATAACTGCGTTCCTTTTCAGGGCTGAGTTCCTGGACAGCGTGATGTTCCGCATGGGCGTTCTGGCCACCCTGCGCTCCCGGTATCGTGGAGGCTCCGTCATCGGCGTGATGATCACGGCATCGCACAATCCGGAGCCAGACAACGGAGTGAAGCTGGTCGATCCCAAGGGCGAGATGTTGGAGGCCAGCTGGGAGGCGATAGCCACCGATCTGGTCAACGTCAGCGACCAGGAACTGGAGCAGCAGGTGGCCAAGATCATAAAGGACAACAACATCGATGTGACGACCAGTTCCCAGGTGTTTGTGGGCATGGACAACAGATACCACAGCCCAAGACTGCTGAAGGCGGTGGCCGATGGCGTGATTGCACTGAAGGGAAACGTCAAGGAGTACGGCATTGTGACCACACCCATGCTGCACTACTTCGTTGTGGCGGCGAATACCAAGGAGGCCTATGGCAAGCCAACCGAGGAGGGTTACTACGAGAAGCTGATCAAGGCCTTCGAACTGCTGCGCAACGGACGCCTGGAGAACGGCAACTATCGCAACAGCATCATTTACGATGGTGCCAATGGCGTGGGTGCCCGCAAAATGCTGCAGTTCATCAAGCGCATGAAGGGCTCCCTGAACGTGACGGTCATCAACCAGGGCATTGGTGTCGGCAAAATCAACGAGGACTGCGGCGCCGACTACGTGAAGGTGCAGCAAAGGCCGCCGAAGTCCATGCCCGAGGTGGAGCCCTTCACGAGATGCGTCAGCGTGGATGGAGATGCCGATCGGGTGGTGTACTTCTTTACCGACGACAAGGGCGAGTTCCAACTGCTTGATGGCGATCGCATAGCCACTTTGGTCGCCGGCTACCTCATGGAACTGGTCACACAATCCGAGATCAACTTAAGGCTGGGTTTGGTGCAAACCGCCTATGCCAATGGTGCATCTACGGACTACATAGTGGACAAACTAAAGTTCCCCGTCTCGTGCGTTCCCACGGGCGTGAAACACCTGCACCACAAGGCCTTGGAGTACGATATTGGTGTTTACTTCGAGGCGAATGGTCATGGAACGATTGTGTTCAGTGACAATGCTAAGGCGACGATTGCCCAAGCTGCCGAAACGAAGGAAAGTGCCAAGACTTTGTTGCTGCTAATCGATCTGATCAACGAGACCGTGGGAGATGCCATATCCGATATGCTGCTGGTGGAAACTATCCTGAACCACAAGGGCTGGGACGTCCAGGACTGGATCTCATCGTACAACGACCTGCCCAACCGACAGCTGAAGGTGAAGGTGCAGGACCGAAACGTCATCGAGACGACGGATGCGGAGCGAGTGTGCGTGAAGCCCGAGGGTCTGCAGTCGGAGATCACCAAGGTGGTGGCCAACTACAAGCGGGGTCGCTCCTTCGTTCGCCCCTCCGGAACCGAGGATGTGGTGCGCGTCTACGCCGAAGCAGCCACCAAAGAGGTAATCCCTAAAAGTTTACTAAACAATAGAACAACACTCAGTATGGTTTTTACGACAGGATACCGATGATCTTGCCTACGAAGTGGGTCTGCTGGTGCAGAAACTGGCCGGAGGAGTTGGTCCGGAACTGACGAAGCCCAACAGTGCCCACCTCTAAAGCGGAATAACGAACCAACCTCAAGGGAATCGACAATTGACACAGGTCCTATATGGAGCAATAAATCTCTTTACTCTAAGGTGCTCAATAACTTAAAAGTCTTAATTCTCAAACGCATTTATACTGCAACTGTTCACTGTCTTGTGTGTTCTAAAAATGACGTGTTTTACCCCTATTTATAAAGTTCTATTACTTATACGTTATGGGAGCTCTTATTTTATGTACTAGTTGTGCACTTTGCTAATCAGAAATGAAGAGCTTTATGGAAAAATGGACTCGATACGTTAATTTTTTGTTGAGCTATTAGCGGTAACTATTGAAATTATTAAAGAATCCATAATAGAGATTAATGACCCTAATCAATTTTGTATTGCTATTTTCTATAAAATATTTTTTAAACAAACTTCTTAAGAATTTCATTTTAGGGGGAATATAAATCCATTTCCATTTAACACAATTTAACGAAAAGTAAACACATCGCATATATTTATGACTACAAACTTAGCTTGGCTTTGTAAATAAGGATTAAATAAATTAATTAAATTGCTTATTTTTACCTTTTAACTTAACATTCAAATAAATGTTGCTACAGGTTGTTTTTCCGTTAAGCTAACAGAATTGAAAAACGCCACCTGACGCTTGGTAGTGAAGATGCATAGTGTGAGGTTGAATAATGTAAATTCGGTATATTTGCAATTGGTATTAAATGTATATATTAGTTGCCGGATGGTTTTCTTTTCTTTAACTCAGCCGGTCACACTATCTGATTGCCGTGCTGTCACTTTGGCTGATGCAATTGCAGTTTTTAAGTTAAAACAAAATTAATTTCCAGTCAACTAGTATTCTAAAAGCCCAAACACAATGGACGCGGAAGACGTAAGTTCCAGGAACACCGGATTGTGTGCTTAAAATTATGAAAACTTGCCTGGAAAATTCGCATATGTGCGTACATGTGCGCCCTTGTGTATGTGTGTGTGCGTGTGCATGTGTATTTACATGTTTGTGTATGAGAACTGGGCGAACAATGAGGTTATGTTTGCTTGATCCGGATTTAAACCATACCGAAATTTCAATGATTTTCACAGGGTTTTGATCCCACTTTGTTGAAAAAGAAGAAGAAGAAGAAGACCACCTTCGATCTGGACGCGGCATTGGGCCTGGAGGATGACACCAAAAAGGAGGATCCCCAGGATGAGGCATCGGCGGAAGGAGGTGCCGCCGCCGAGGAGGATAATCTAGATCTGGAGAGTTTCGGCAAGAAGAAGAAAAAGAAGAAGAAGCCCTTCAACATGGACGAGATCGAGGCAGCGATCCCCAGCTTCGGCGGCGATGATGTGGCCGCTACCGAGGAGCCCGAGGAGGAGGAGATAAACCTAGACATGGACTTCTCGATGGCCAAAAAGAAGAAGAAGAGCAAGAAGAAGGAACTGGACGAGCTGTTCGCAGACAAAGGGGACGACGACAGGAGCGAAGACAAGGAGAATGGTACGGTGTCCACCAGCATATGTTTTGAACGTTTCAATAACGAATTATTTATTTTCCAGTTGAGGATAATAGCTCGACCTGGTTTGGCTCCGATCGCGATTACACATACGACGAGTTGCTGAAGCGGGTCTTCGAAATCATTCTGGACAAAAATCCGGACATGGCCGCCGGTCGCAAGCCAAAGTTCGTGATGCGTCCGCCGCAGGTACTGCGCGTGGGAACCAAGAAGACCTCCTTTGCCAACTTCATGGACATTGCGAAAACGCTGCATCGCCTGCCCAAGCATCTGCTCGACTTCCTGCTGGCCGAGTTGGGTACCAGCGGCTCCATGGACGGCAACCAGCAGCTGATCATCAAGGGCCGTTTCCAGCCCAAACAGATCGAGAATGTGCTGCGTCGCTACATCAAGGAGTACGTCACCTGTCACACCTGCCGCTCCCCGGAGACGATATTGCAGAAGGACACGCGACTCTTCTTCCTGCAGTGCGAATCCTGTGGCTCCCGCTGCTCGGTGGCCAGCATCAAGTCAGGTTTCCAGGCTGTCACCGGCAAACGTGCCGCCATTCGAGCAAAAACAACCTAAATTCTCCTTATTTAAACTTTTTGAACTTTTATTACCAGTAAAATTTCAATACAAAAAACCCAATACTATTTCTGTGTTGTACGCTGTGTCGTTTTGTACCTTTGGTGCCAGTCGGTTAAGTAGTCCACGAAGCCAATTTCCATTTCCCGGGATCTGCCGCTGTCTATGCAGAACGAAAAGGTGTCCAGGCCGATCTTACCCCGGTACTTGTTCGGACGACCGCGCAGGAACAGACTGTGGCCCCTCGAAATGCGCGTTGGGTCTATGTACTCCATGGAGGCCTGCAGCAGCCGCATCATGCTGAGGGCAATGCTATTGTAGGTGGCGCTGGAGGCCAGCGAGGTGGCTTCACTGTACAGGCTGGAGATGATTCGTCCGTTATATGGGTTCTTGCTGATGCTGGCCTCCAGGGAGCCGGTGCCATCGTCTATCATGTACTTCATGAACGACTCGTTGTGGGTTCCATTGCCAGTCACAAAGGCGTATACGATGCAGGTGTAAAAGTGAATCGGATGCACATCGTCTGTTATGAATACATTTTCACTATCCGCATCCTGAGTTACTCGCAGGATCTGGGATATGGTCAGTGGCACGTTGTCGTGGACCTCCGGACCACACTTTCCCGCTGACTTTTCACTTTGATGCTTCTTGCGTATCACGAAGTTATCCAGCTGGCTTTCAATGTCCTCGAAAGTCTGATTGAAATCCATTATATTAGCTTAGTCTGCAATTTCAAAAGGGATTACTAGATTGCAGTGCATCAGCATTTTGCATTAGCGCCAAACAAAAACAGTTGGGCGCATGGGCGTAGGCAACATTCTATTTCGGGGTCAAAATGGGGTTTACCCATTTGGCCTATGAAAATACATACATTTCTTATCGTTATCGCGCTCATGGGTTTGACTTGAGTTGACTTGTTATTTTGCTATAAATATTAATAAAGCAGTATAAATATTTTATACATTTCGAATTAAAGTGCGAAATTCTATTGTTACAAAATTGTATTATTAGTAAGAAATACGGTCACATTCATTTGCAGTACCGCAAAATATTTTACATTGGACCCCCTTTATAAATTTCAAGTTTTTTTGACTACGCCCCTGTAAGTTTGTACTTATTAAATTAAAAGTTGTTGCTCGCAGATAAAAAAAAAGGTAAAGACTATATGCACAAACGTAAAATCGTTAATAAAATATATATATCAAACCATTATTTCACCACAAAGGGAAATGTATTTGCACAAAACGCCAGGTTGGCAGCCCAGTCTTGTGCGTAGCAAGTGGGCAGGCTCGTTGTATCGCTTGTGAAATTTGTGAAAAAGTACACTTTGTGCACAAACTGCTGATCTTGGAATGTCTGGTGGTCCATCCATAACGCTAAAAAGTCAACCAATCGATGGTAACAACACGGGCAACGCTGCGGCGCAACAGCAGCAGCAGGGAGCGAATGGCGCAGCATCTTCTGGTGCATCTGGAGCCGCTGGCAACGCTGGCGCCGCCCAGAATCCAGGACACGGAGGAACTGCGGGCGGAGCAGGCAGTGCGCCGGCGGAGGGTACGCGGCAGAACAGCCTGCAGCGGATCCAGCAGCGAAAGCTGAAGGTCTTCAATCTGCCCGTGCCACAGAAATTGGCCAAACTGTCGATGTATTCCGCCTGCCAGTCGGAAGGATGCCGCTGCACCGGATGGAAAACACCGCAGGAAAATCGCCACCGTGACGTGGAATCTTCCTACTGTCCGGAGTTCAACGAGGAGTGCCGCAACGCCAGCTGTCGGCATTCACTGAGGTCGCACATAGCCCATCTGGACAACATATCCAGTTCCAGCATGGACGAGTTATTGGGCGCCATCATAGACATGGAGAACCTATTCATGTCCATGCAGCGCGTCGAGGACGATGACACCAAGAAGGTGTACCTGTATCTCTTCCGTTTGCTGCGCCAGTGCGTCCTCACGCGCCAGCAGGCGGTCATCCGGGGTCCTCTCGGTGATCCGCCATTTGAGGCGCCCTGCATCACTAAGGCTGTGCTGTCGCTGGTCTTCTACAAGTACAATCACCTCACTACGCCGGAACTCCAAACCATGACCGAGGTGGCCAAGACGTTCTTGAACTTTCTGAATCACTACAACTTTGAATCGCCGTCGACAAGAAGGGGAGATCTCACCCACGAGGATGCCTCTAACTACAAAATCAACTACACTAGGTGGTTGGTCTTCTGTCACGTGCCCGCCTTTTGTAACTCCCTTCGCCAATTTGAAACGTCCCTAGTCTTTGGACGAACGCTCCTGCGCACTGTTTTCCAGTGCATGTCGCAGCAGCTCAAGAAGAAGTGCATCTCCGAGCGGGATCGCTTTCCCGAGGACAAGCGTTCGATCATCACGCAGATGCCCAAGTTCCTGGAAACCCTTCGCGCCGAATTGCTCAAGGATGATTCGCCCATTTGGGATCCCAGCTACCGCCCGCCAAATTCCTTTGTCATCCAGCAGAGAAAGCGTCATCAGGAGGTGGCAACTGTACCCATTGGTGCTAGTGTAGCAAGCATCGGTGGCAATAAGAGGGCCAGTGTGGGTGAACCGCTCCAAAAGAGAATCAAAAAGGAGCCCACAGATCGATCAAGCAGGTTGGTAAACGTTTTTATTCTTCAAATACTTGTACTAATCGTGCTGCCGCAGTGAGAACTTGGATGACCTGCCCACGGATGTAGTGATGCACGCCATGAAATCGGTGTCAGAGTCGAAGACCACCAACAAGGCGGAGATACTCTTCCCGGTAAATGTGTCGCGCGATGAGAACGTGAAGGCGGAGGAGCAGAAGCGTGCCATTGAGTTCCATGTGGTGGGCAATTCACTGACTAAGCCGGTGGACAAGCAGACTGTTTTGTGGCTACTGGGCCTGCAGCTCGTATTTGCCTATCAGCTACCCGAGATGCCACGCGAGTACATCAGCCAGTTGGTTTTTGACACCAAGCACAAAACCCTGGCGCTCATCAAGGAAAACCAGCCCATTGGCGGCATCTGTTTCCGCCCATTCCCGTCGCAGGGTTTCACCGAGATCGTTTTTTGTGCGGTCACCATGTCGGAACAAGTGAAGGGCTATGGAACGCACTTGATGAACCACTTGAAGGATTACAGCATACAGAGAGGCATCAAGCATCTGCTCACATTCGCCGATTGCGATGCCATCGGGTACTTCAAGAAACAGGGTTTCTCCAAGGATATCAAGTTGGCGCGACCAGTTTATGCGGGCTATATCAAGGAGTACGATAGTGCCACTCTGATGCACTGCGAGTTACATCCAAGCATTGTGAACACACAGTTCATAGCTGGTTAGTCAATGAACCAATAAGGAGTCGTGGCCAAATTTTACACTCAATTTCTTTCTTGCAGTGATTCGCAAACAGAGCGAGATTCTGAAGGAGCTAATCGCCCAACGCCACAACGAGGTGCAGAAAGTCAGGCCCGGCTTGACTTGCTTCAAGGAAGGCCTGCTCTCCATTCCCGTGGAATCGATTCCTGGCCTGCGAGAGATCGGTTGGAAGCAGCAAATTCGCCCGGCACGGTCATCGCGACCCCTCGAGGAATCCTCCGATCCAGAGAAGCTGGCCACGTCCTTTGCATCTGTGCTGCAGTCCGTGCGCCAACACACCAGCGCCTGGCCCTTCCTGCGCCCGGTGACCGCTGCGGAAGTTCCGGACTACTACGATCATATCAAGTACCCGATGGACCTGAAGACCATGGGAGAACGCCTGAAGAAGGGATACTACCAAACGCGCCGCCTGTTCATGGCGGACATGGCCCGCATCTTCTCCAACTGTCGGTTCTACAACTCGCCCGACACTGAGTATTATCGGTGTGCCAACTCCCTGGAGCGCTACTTCCAGACCAAAATGCGCGAGCTGGGCCTGTGGGACAAATGATGCAGTGATTCTGAGGACTGAGGAGCCCTGTATAAATGCGAATAATTAATCTAACGAACAGAGAATATTACTTCTATTTATTTCTAGAATTCTCTGCAGCAAAAGACAAACGCGGATAGTTATATATATATATATGTATATTATATATATAATTATATATATTATACATATGTAGGTTAAGCGTAGTATCCGTCTTGTTCTCTTAGACGGACACGCGATTTCATTGGGAAGAATAAATCAGATCTATCTATCTACTAATTTGCCATAATGTTGTAGGGAAACTCATTAACGAACCCTTCAGAAATGATGTGTAACCACTACGATTTGTCTTAACTGTTTATTTCACTTTTGATTTCCTACATTCATTGTTTTGCATGCTTTTAAAGTTAGGATTTCTCTTTGCTTTCGTTTGGTTTAGTAAACATTTGCTTAATGATTTCAGTTATAAAATTATACCGTATTTAATCTTAGGGGCGGGCGTTAAATCGAATCTCTATGTCATTGTACAAAGGCGGCTCCGAGGCTCCAAATCTGTTTCCTGGTTAAGTGCGTCGGATGTGGCAAAGAATGTATCGCGAATATGCCGATGGTACAATGGAAATGTTAACCGTAGTTGCTTACTGCTTGAATTCAATTATCCTTTATTACATGGTATTAGGTTTAAATTTCAATACGTGGTAGTCTTTACAATTTAGCCATTACTTGCGAAACGTGCTTTTTAGTGTTCAACTCGATAATTGCGTATTTATATACATACATACATATGTGGAGCTAATCGGAGTGAGCATATATGGAGATATACATATTACATACAGGTAGATACATAATTTATGATTACATAATATTGAAATGTGTGGTGACTCCGCCTCCTCCGCCTGCTCATTCTCCATGCGTGTTAACTACTGTCCTCCGCTGGCCAAACTGGACTCCGTTCGGCACGCGGCGGCTTGTGCTGAATTCAATACAAATATATATCTGGATACAAGGATAACAAACAAATATCTAAAAGGACTTCAGCTGGAAATACATATGCATGCACACGCGCAATTTACTCGCTTTCAAGGCCTCGATTTCAGCCGCAGCAGCCAGTGATCACACAATCTTAACAATTACTATGAGAACATCATATCATTTCGAACCGTAAGTAAAATCGGTTATAAATTCCCTTGCAGGCGTGGCGAGAAAACGTGTACTTGTTGTGTAGCCCAACCGAGATCAGAAAAAATAAACTTTACGAAAACCTAACTTTTGGGCTCTTCTTTCTGGACGTTAAATTAGTGACAAATTTGCTAATGATTGGTTATTTTTTTGTTGTGTTTTTTTGTTCACATTTTCATTCGAAGACTTCACTCTTCAGCTGGGCTGCATTGACTTTTTACAATTGTGCTTTTCAAAGAAGCGCGTAGCTGCCGATTTTATTTTCTTGTTTCTTTTTCATGTTTAAAATGCTCTTAAATAATAGTTTTAAATGCTAGTAAAACGGCTCGAGTGTTTCTCGATGTTTTACGCCCACAAGAAATACATTATTACAATCGATTTGTTACTCTTTCATTCAAATAAAAACGTATTAGTTAGCTTTTATTTTAGATTTGGGAATTCCATGGATTTAATTGGTTTACTCCATTAATTTCATTATTGTTATCGGATCGGCTCCTCCGCTAAATCTCCTTGCTCCTGGTAAATGGTTTGTTTGGTTTTTTTTAACTTTTCATACTTATGCTTACTATGTTCTTCACATCTATTACTAAATATATGTATGTATGCAGGTGTGCCATTATCTCCTCCTTATCAATACCGTGCTTTCTGCTCAGCGCAAGGCGTTGGAACCAGCCATTTACACAAAACCTAACACATGGCCGGTTCACATTCACAGTCGCTAATCGCTAGTCGTTAATCGAATCGTAGAGCGCTTATCATCGCCAAGCACACGGTGGTGGACGGGCAGCAGCGAAGTGCGCCCCAGGACGTCGTGAGAATTGTAACACTAATTTTAATTATACAAATATATTATGCCGCTGGATCCATAACTCGAAATTCCTGATAATAAGAGCCTGTGTGTCGTCGATCGTTCGCTCGGTCGGTCGGTTGATTGGGTTGCTTCGAATAATTAGCTTTGCAAAGAATAGGATATTTACTTTACTTTACTCTTCTCGATTCGCATCTATTGATTTGTTGTTGGTTCATTTAAAGTGGCTTTCCACTGGCTGGGCGGCACTATTGAGCTGCAAAAAGTAAACACATGTTTTCTACGCGTGCCAAATGAAGTGTATAGGCGTAATTGCTACTCACAAACTGCCGCCACCTGTTGCGTCTGCTCTGGCAAGAGGGACGTCGACTTTGTCGTCGTGGTTGTGGCATTTGGTGCATTGGAGTCCGTGGCATTGGATCCGTGCCCAGCGTTGTTGGCCGCCTTCAGCGCAGCAGCCGTGTTGCCGTTGGTGATGTTTGGCATTCCGTTGCCGCCACGGCCGCCACCGTTGTTGCGATTGTTGCTCCTGTTGCGAAAGTTGCCGCCGCCGCCCATGCGATAGTTGTTCCTGTTGTAGCCGGGCGCACCTCCGTATCCCGAGTTCATGCCGCCGTTGCCCGCTCCGCCCATGTTGCCATTATTGTTGTAATAATGGTTGCGTCCGCGGTAACTGTTTCGAATACATATTCAGTTGATCAGGCGCACATCATTTGCATGACTGCTTCAGTTGACTCACCTGCCACGTCGTGTAGAGGACACTCCAAAAGTCTCCGTGTTCAATTTGCGCTCCTGGCGCCAATCGTTCTTTTTGTTCTTGCTGCGATCCTGGGCAGCCTCGCACGAGATGTTGTCGAAGAACGATTTGGTCTTGTCGTAGCACACAGCAACGTCATCCTCCTCGGGCTCGTGCTCTCCAGCGCCGGTCTCATTGCCAGAATCATCCTTCTTGTCGGTCTCGCCATTCAACTGCAAGAAGAATAGATGGTGAAATGGTGGTAACTCTTAAAACGTTTATATAGCAAATTTACGTAGAACTTATTTTCAACATAAAAATAAAGAATTAAGAAAACTAGAAAACTCTTTAGTTGATAGAGTTGAACAAACCTTTAAGCAATCAAAAACAATTAAATGATATGAAATCAATTCAAACATGTTTTACCTCCTAGTATTATTAAGACTTTTTGTTTTAGCTAGTGCCCTTTATATATAACGTACTTTAAGTCTAATGTGTAGTGTATAAAAAATAAAAAGTGTGTTGGACTTACTGTGTGAACGCCTTCAACCTTCTGACCCACCTGCTCATTGGTTGCAGTTGTAGTGGCGGCCGTTGAATTGGTGGCTGGCTTGGGGGCACCATCCTCGGCCACCTTGAGCTTGGCCAGCTGGGAGCGCAGTTCCTCGAACTTGTTGTTGGCCTGCTCGAAGTCGAAGTCACCCTCAAACTTGATCTTGTTGCGAGGCTTGTTCTGATTATTGGCCGACTGCGGACGATAGCCCTGCAAAATGAAATCGCCAGGGGTTAATTAACCATCTATAGTACTTTGAGTCACCAGCAGGTGTACCTGATTGGGTCGCATGGGGCCGCGGGATCCCATGCCGCGGTTGCGCATGTTCATCATGTTGTTCGAGTTCTGGTTGCCGCGATGCATGTTCCAGGCCGGGTTGTTTCCACCTCCGTTCCCGCCGCCTCCTCCACCGCTGCCGCCGCCGCCGTTTCCTCCTCGTTGCTGCTGTTGCATTCCGTTGCCGCCACCGCCGCGATTGCGCTGATTATTGTTGTTGCTGTAGTTGTTGTCCATTTGACGGCCGGAGTCACGACGATCCCGCTGCTGGTGGTGCTGCTGGTTATAGAAGTCCGATCCACTGCCGCCGCGCTGCTGCTGCTGCTGCATGTTGTGGTTGGGACCGCCGCGCTGCTGCTGCGCCTGCTGCTGCTGATTCTGGTGGTTCTGGCGCTTATGTCCTGCATCGCGTCCGTTGCCACCCTGGCCAGCGTTCTGTTGCTGGTGCACCTGCTGCTGCTGGGTCAGCTCCGCCGTGGGACTCACAATCAGGCTAATGGGCGTCGTCGACCGCGAAGCACCGGCCAGCATGTCTAGAACGGAAACTGTACACATATAGAGGACGCAACGAGGACGAAAGGGAGAGAGTAATGCGTGTGGGCACCAAAAACATTAGTCCAAACAAATACAAGTGAAAAATTTTGCATATCCCCTTTTAAAATAAATACTTTTTCTTTGATATTTCAAATGGTCCTATTAACTTTATAAAGGGCTGAGTATTACAGAATTCCAGATAAGATAAAGCCATTTGTAAGTACTCAACCGTCTATATGAAATTATAGTATGGCAAGAAAAACTTTGGGTATCAACAAACTATTTTTAAAAAATAATTTTTAAATAGGCTTTTTGGATAAAGCATGTGCCATTTGCAGCAAAGAAATCGACATGCTTTCTTATCGGATAAAACCACAAAATTACCCATAATCTGAAAGTATTTCCGGAGATTGCGGTATTAGGTATCATTGGAATAGCTTATAAAATTAAAATTTAAAATATAATATATATGCATATTTGAACTCACTTATAAGGAGAAAGCTAATTTTTAATTAAGATCAAAAAGATTGCGCAAACATAAATCTAGCTGATATTGGTGTGCAATGTAATTTTAGTAACAAGTGTGCTCTAACCAAACTCACTTGGCTGTTTCTGCTGCTGGGGCTTCTGCTGTTGCTGGTTGCCGCCGAAGTGCATGAAGGGTCCGCTGCCCGGAGCTCCGGAACCGGGTGCAAGTGATCCGCCCGCATTGCCCACGATATTGGCCAGATTGGGGCCGCCCAGGTTGCCGAACGGATTGCCATTGCCGTAGCCGGGGCCGCCTCCACCAGGAGCTCCTCCACCGCCAGCACCACCACTGCCTCCACCACCAGCACCACCACTGCCTCCACCGCCCGGTATCTGGGGCGGTTGTTGCGACGGCACCTGCTGCTGCGGCGGAGCGTTTATCCCGCTGGGCATGAAGTAGGGCTGCGGCATCTGGGGCGGTCCGTTCTGGAGCTGCGCCTGCATGATCGCCGGGTCATTGTGGTGCGGCAGCGTGTGGTTGTTGACAACGCGAATGTCCTTGATGTCCGAGCCGCGGAAGAGGATGTAGTCGTAGATCTGTGACTGCGGCGCTATATGGAACTGGGTGTCCCGATCTTCTGTACCGAAGGATCGCACTGTGAAAGGTAAGAGGGTTAAATAGGTTATGTTATAATATTAAACCTTATGCATACGTTTTTTTGGGTACAATAATGAACATTTCTACAGCAAAGATTTCTTATCACAGCCGCCATTTTTCCCTTTATTCTTGAAAAGATCTTAACCAAAGCGAAACTTTTAAATTGACAACTTGTTTCAAAAGAAATAAAGTTAGGAACTACCTTTTTTAAAGAGTGATTAACCGGCATTTTAAGTCGGTTTTTGAAAGTTGTCCATGAAGTATAACTTTCGGAGCCTACATCTTCCACGTTTATATTCAATTTGTTTTAAAATGTATGCAGAACGTTCTACATTATATAATTCAATTGTTGAAAAGTCGAATAACTTGGATTTCCGGACCCTTGTAAACCCATTAAGGTTAGACCGCGCTTCCAATTTAACCTCAACTGGGAAACGCATGTTTTGCCGGTATTTGTGTTCTCCGTTTCTCCTTTTCGGCTTCCAGGGCAGTGACATCCGTAACGGGAGCCTGTGGATCCCGTTATCTGGCGCCAAATCGAAATTGTATTTGCAAATAAACAAATTGCATTGGGGCCTTGCTGGTGTTCGTTACTTTGTGTGCGCGTGTATGTGTGCCATTTAAATTGCAAAAGCAACACTGTACAACAACAAGCCAAAGACAAAAACAGGCCAAAGCCAACATGACAAACAAAAAGCATAAGTGAGAGAGCGAGAGACGGCTGGCGAAATGGATATGGAGAGAGCGCAGCGGTGGCGGCAATTGCACTCTCCGTCTCCGCAGAGTATGAAATTACTGTAAAAACTAACAAAAAGAAACGAACAAAAATGAAAGAGTAGAGCCACACACACAAAAGAAATGGACAGAATCCATTTTCTTTTGCGATGAACCGTTTCTTTACAGGGATTTTTTTTTTTTTTTTTGGCGCAGATTACGGCACCCACATATATCCCGTATATGTACATATATGGGGCTATATGATCAAATACTTCGGATCAAATACTTACCACTCGAGAGCGCAATGGTGCACTCCTGCGGATCTACCGTGTACAGGCGGCCCTCGTATCGAATGTCCGCCTTGGAAATGAGGCTGATTTTGGAGCCCAACTCCGGCAATCCCCCGCTCATCTTGAACTTTTTCTGAACTTCACTACGCACTCACTCCGAAAATACAAACTATTATTAAGTGTTTCTGCCAACAGGCACACGAATTTCTCTGGCCAAATCAAACAATTATAGCGAGCGCGACGACAACGATTTCTCGACGGTTTCAGTCTCTGCTCTTCTTTTACTTTTTTTTTCCGACTTTTTTTCACCCGCAATTGCCTTCCAGTTCCAGGGCGAATTTGCGGCCAATCGCCTTCCAGCCGCGTTTGCTAGATGGAGCTGGGTTTTTGCACAAGTGCGGCAAGCGCTTTTCCAATGTCTGTGGTGCTGCACACACGGCTCTAAATGTGAAAATTGCAATTTTTGATGCACAAATCTTTGCTCCGTCCGTCTGCGAAAACCTACCCGTCGAAAATGAACGATGGAAACGAGCGAGTGCCGGGACGGTGTTGGATAGCGCGGGTGGAAAGCAGCGGCGGCGGCAGCGAAATAATAATAATAACTGTTTTTGCTTATAGTGGCAAAATAAAAAAGGGAACGCTGCTGCATGTTGACAAAAGTAAAGAACTCTATATAAAAGTGCTTTGTGTGCACCAAAATTCCTAATTCATTATTTACCACCGGGCAACACTGCTTGCAACCCTAAATGCAACAGTGCTAGGTGAGCACGCATCCCTGGTTTTTCGGCTTCCCTCGGCGCATTTTTTTCAAAGCAAAACGGCAGAAAAATGCGTTGGCATTTTACGGATTTCTGAGTGTATTTTTTATGTGAAAAAATCTGAAATATTGAGAGTTCAACATGCCGCCCAAGCTGGAGCCGATTAGCGTGCGCACAGCGCGCCTCAACAACTTGATTCTGGGCAAAGGAGCTGGCGTCTGTGCGAAGCCCGCCGGAAGCGCCGCTGGATCGGGTATTCCCGCATCCACCAGGAGGAGCATTGTGCCCGTGAACACCACTAGCGCCGCCGTGGTCGAGGCCATCTGCCGCGAGGGACTCCTGGACGCCTTCTGCCTGCTGTACAACGAGTGCGACAAGGACACGCTAAAGAAGCGCGATCGCAACATCGCGGAGTTTGTCAACAAATGTGAGTCAACTGCACTGGTCAGCAGGGTTTTAGGAATATCTACGATCTATTAAGGCATAGAACTCAGGATCTACTTTTGCTGATCATATTCTATAAAATAAAGTTATAATGTTCCGTATTGGCTGGGATAGTTTTATAGGTATTCAGCATTTGCTAATTCAAATTAAAAGATATTTATTTTCTGTTATATTCTTCCCCAACAATCGAGTTCATGTCTAGCTACCTATTACTATCCAATTTCTTCCTCCAGTTCGTCCCATCATAGAGGAGACCCGCAAACTCAGAGTCAATGCAGATGACTTTCTCATCAAGACACTTATTGGCCAAGGATACTTTGGCAACGTTCACCTGGTGGTGGAGCGCCAAACCAACGACATATACGCCATGAAGAAGATTAAGAAGTCGGTGGTGACCACGTCACAAGTCAAGGAGGAGCGCGACATCATGTCTATTCGCAATTCCGAATGGCTGATCAATCTGCAGTATGCCTTTCAGGTTTGTTATTTTCATACTTTCGCATATTTCGGTATTTAAATTAACTTTTGTTTCTCAGGATAACGACAACCTGTACTTGGTCATGGAGTACATGCCGGGCGGAGATCTTCTAAGCTTGATGTCTCGCCATGGACCTTTCGATGAGGACTTGGCTCGTTTCTACCTGGCCGAGCTCACAGTGGCCCTGCACACATTGCACGAGATGGGCTATGTGCATAGGGATATAAAGCCAGAAAATATATTGATAGATCGTTTCGGGCATATAAAACTGGCTGATTTCGGTAATGCCGCTGCCCTGAATCGGGATGGACATGTGCTAAGTTTGTCGCCCGTGGGAACACCAGATTACATTGCTCCAGAGCTACTGCAAACCATATCCACCTACAAGCTGTCCAAGTCGTTGCACGATGTGAGTAGAACTGTACGATCGCAGAGTTTGGTTAGGAAATCCCATAGCTAAAACATGTAATTATTTTGTAGGTTAGCTGCGATTATTGGTCCATGGGTATTATAGGATATGAGTTGATATGCGAGACAACACCTTTTCACGAGGATAATGTACACGAGACATACTCCAAGATTCTCTCCCACTGCGAGGAGAGTCACCTAAAGGAGCTCATCAGCTTTCCCTCCGACTTAAAGGTGTCTGTCAACTATAGAAATTTGATTGAGTCACTGGTCACAAATCCCTCAAAGCGATTGGCTTATGACCGCATTAAAAGTCACCCCTTCTTCAACGAAGTGCCGTGGGGTTCCATTCGCTCCCAGGTTCCTCCTATTATACCAACTGTTAGGTCTGACGACGACACTTCCAATTTCGAGGACGGAATTCGTCACAAAACTCGCAGAGAACAGGGAGTTGCCAAAAAGTCCCTTACAACCAACATGAAATCGAATGACTTTAGTGGCAAGGATCTGCCATTTATTGGGTACAGTTTTGTCCACATGGAAAAGTCAGCAATTTCCGCTACCACTGATGAAAAGTTGCAGGAGAAGCTAAAGGAACTGCTGCAGAAACTGAAGACTAGAGAGAATGAGATTTCCATGCTTAAACAAGATCTTTTGCGGGCACAGCAATCGCTTAGGAAGACCGATAACAAATCCCAAGTGGTGGCCGATGCTAAAATGGAGATAAAGAAACTGCAACAAATTATAAAGGAGAAAACAATGGAGCTGACCACCTGCAAGACACAGATTAAGACCCTCCAAAGTTCGGCCAAAATAGACGAGGAAATGTGGTCTAAAAAGGAAGCCACTATCACCGATCTCCTCCGCCTGAATCGGCAAAAGTACGAAGAAGCCAAGATCGCTTCGGAGCAACGATATGAGAAACAATTGGCAGACAAAAAACAAGAGCTGGCATCCACGATACAAAAGTTAGATGCCCGTGAGCTGGAGTTCAATGCCAAGTTCGAAGAGTGCAAGCATCTTTCCATGAAATTGCAAAACTACAAGGATATGCTGCAGCAGATCAAGGAACAGAATCTCAAGTCCGAGACAAACCATGAGGAGCAGAAGCGCCAAATGGCCGAGTCATATGAGCAAAAGCTGGCAGATCTCCGGAAAAAGGTTCGCGACTCGCAAGATACACACCGTCGCATGACAATGGAGATAAAGGAAATCCGCACTGAGCTGGATGAGTCCATATCCTCCAGTAAGTCAACTCAGGAGGCGAAGAACGCTACCGAGCGGAACATTGAGGAAATATTACGGCGTCTGAACCAGGAGATCGCCTCCAATAATGAGCTTCATGCGGAAAAGGTCAAACTGGAGACGAAGCTGCAACTGAAGGAAAATGAAACCCAAGAAGTTAGAGCAGAGTGTCATCGACTTGAGAGGGAATTGCAGGTAGGTGGTTATTCATCTAAATAATGTTTAATTCAATCAATGCTATGTAGTGGCTGTGTAGTGTAGTTGAATAGATAGACAGGTAAGCAGGCTGTGACTTTTGTGTCAACTTAAAATGCTTAATGATTCCTAATAAAACATATAGCTTTTAATTTAATTATTGAATAACTGGCAAATAACAAAAAGTATATTACATTTTCTAACCTAAAGATATGTAATTTATAAATATATTTAAATATATTAAAATAGCTTGCCGAATGCCGCTGCCAGCTGGCTGAATCCTCATTAGCCAGCCACGTTTCCCCCTACGAAACTGCGCCTGGATCCTTGACCGAACTGAATGCCATCGAAGACCAACTTCGCGCCGACTTGATAGCCGCCAAAGAAAGCGAAAACCATCAGAAAGGACGCGCCGATCAACTCCAGACACTGGTCACTAAGCTGGAGCAAATGCTGGAGCGCTTTAACGAGCAGAGTCTTTCACCTACGAAATCCCACTCATCGCGTAAGCAAGAAGGTGAATCCGTGGGAGATATGCTCGAGCGGCAGAACGAGAAGCTGGAGGATAAATTGGCGGCAGTGCGGGAGCAGATGATTGTGGAACGTCAGGCAGCGCGTACAGCCAATCTTTCGCTCTGGAAGGTGGAGAAACAGCTGGAGGAAGCTTTGTCCGAGAAGAAGTTACTGGCACGTCGCATGGAACTTACCGAGGATCGCATCAAAAAGGTGCAAAACGCAGGAGATGAATCACAGAGAATGCTTAAGACATCCCAGGAGGAAACTCGCCAGCGGGAGTCTCGCATCGAGGAGCTTAAGCAGGAACTGGCGGCCGCCAAAAGGGATGTCCTCAAGGAGCACCGCCAATGGGAAAAGGCAGAGCAGGAGCGCATGAAGTGCAAGTCGGAGATAATCGAGCACCTAGCCAATGTGCACAAACTGGAACAACAGGAGACGGAACTGCGTCAGAAACTAAGGCAAATCCAGTCCCGATTCGATGGGCTAACGTTGGAACAGAAGAATACCATGCGGGAATTGCAGGAGGAGCGCGAAAAGAGCAGAAAAGCCAACGACTCTAGTCTGACCTTACAGAAGGAGCTTAAACAACTCACTGATAACTTCCAGAGGCTGAAGTACGCTTGTAGCATTACCGACAGTCAACTGACCGAAGTTGAAACCATGCTGAAATCGGAGCAGGATCGGAATAAATCCCAGAAATCTCAACTTGACACCGTTCATGAGAAATTGAGAGAGCGCAACGATCAATTAACTGAACTGCGAAAGCAACTATCTGCGGTGGAATCCGAAAAGCGACTGGCGGAGCAGCGCGCTCAAGTTCTAGCATCGGAAATCGAGGAACTTCGCCTGAACCTGAAGGAGCAGCAAAAGAAGTTGGTGGCGCAGCAGGATCAGTTGGTGGAGCAGACAAACGCGCTGTTTGCAACTCAAGAACGAGCTGATCTTTTGGATGGCCAAAATGCAAATTACGAAGCCCAAACTGCGGACTCCAATCGCGAAATGGTTAGCCTGAAAGAGGAAAATGCTAGAATTCTCAGCGAGCTGTTCCACAAGAAGGAGGAGGTGGGCAATCTTCAGGCGGAGATAAGAGACTTGGAGTCTGCACAAGCGAACTTGCACGCGGAGATCGATTCCCTTCAGGATACTTTGGCCGAGAAGGAGCAGTTCTATGTGCAGCGGGACATCAAATCAAATGCCACTCTCGCTCAGCACAAAAAGCTGATTGACTACCTTCAGGTATTTATATTTTTAGATATTAGATATTTTTAGAGAATATTTAATGAACCTGAATACATGTCTATTTTAGCTTAAGGTAGAGGACCTGTCTTCCAAGAAGAAAAAGACATTGGCGGACAAGCTCTTCGGTTCCAGCCATACAAACAAGGAGAACATGTCACCCAATGACGTGGAATCTTCTATTCTGTATAGGGCTCTAAAGGAGGAACTGAAGCGCGAACAAAAGATGAACAGCTTGCTGAAGGAGCAGCTGGCTCAGTTGAATGGTGAGCTTTCTTTAGATTTCGTTTAATGGTGGTATCATATACTGATTTCTACAATTATTTGTTTACTTATTATAGGAACTGCAACCTTGCGCTCTCCGCGCAAATCGGCAGCTGTGAATGGCGACTCCGATGCACCCAAACAGAGACCAGTTAGCATTGCTGCCTTGCCACGTTCCCCACAGAAGCAGCAGTCCCTGAAGCGCACCACCAGCCAGGTGGAGTTGAAGACCACGGAGAAAGCGACTAAAGTAACTAGTGAGGACCAGCAGGCTCATCATCGTTTTGAGCTGGCCCTGCAGGAGTCCAAGGTCGATGCAGCCAATTGTGTGGTTTGCGGACAGCCCGTTGTTGCCGGCTCGCCCTTCTGGAAATGCAAGGAGTGCAAAGATGTTACGCATCGCAAGTGTCGCTCCAATGTTCAGGGACAGTGCGGCACCAAGCCAACCGCACCACCAGCCGATGATCTTAGCAGTGTTCAATCTGTCTCCAGCTTAACTTTAAATAGCATAGATGTTGCGGGTGGTACAACCAACGGCGGCGAGTACATTGGATCGCTGGTATACAGTTCGGATGGTCCGGAGGATCAGGCGCGAAAGGAGATCGAAGTGAACTGCGCCTTTGAAGTGGCTGAGCAGCAAATACTCCTTTTGGGCTGTAACACGGGATTGTATGCGTATCACCTGGACTCGCAGCGACTGGTGCACATTTCTGGCCTCGAGTCGGTGAGCTGCATGTCCATCTGCAAGCGCCTGGCGAAGGCTATCATGGTGGGCACTGTGGGCGAAAAACTCTACCAATGTGACTACCGGCAGCTAGAGTCACGTTGCCAGAGCTCCAGTTCGTGTCATAAGCCTATGCTGGAGACCTCTGCCATTGAACTGCCCTTTGCCAATCGCACGCCCTCCGAGAAATGGAAGCTAGTGCTGATTTCCGAAGAGGCGGAGAACGCATTGGATTCGGTGGCCATTGCAGCCACGTCCACCAGGATTGTCATCTTGAAGTATGACCTTAAGCTGCACATGTTTAAGCCAGTTCGAGCCTTGGACACGGCCACTCCGGTCACTTCTATATTCTTTACGCGTCACTCAGCTATCGTAAGCTCGGATAAGTTTTACGAAATCGATTTGGACAACTATGCGGCTGAGGAATTTGTGGATCTGTCCGACAAGTCAATGGAAAGCACTGCCAAGTGTCAACCTCTTACTGCTGTGCGCATTTCTCGGCAGGAGTACCTGCTGTGCTTTGCCGAATATGGAGTCTTTGTGGATGAGTTTGGCTGCCGATCCAGGCCCTACGATTTGAACTGGGTGTATGCACCCACTGGATTTGTTTACCGCGAGCCATTCTTATTCATTGCTCATTACCAAAGCGTGCAGATTGTCCGTTTGCATCGGTCCTTCAGCAAGGAAATTTCCAACGGGGACAATGCCTCGCAGACTTCGGAATCCCCGGAGCTGCAGCGCGTCTATTTGCCCCACTACATGTCCACTTTGCTGGCGAACAGTGGCGATGTCAATCTCTATGCCGTGGCCATCGATCAGAGGCCTTGCAACGGAACACAGAAAATCTATCACCTGGACACGATGCAGGCATTCAAGCAGAAGTTCAATATCTCCATGGAAACCCTTTCTTCGGTGGCCACTTCCGTGTCATTGGGCTCAACGGTCACCGGAAATAGCTTATAGATGAAGGATATATTTTGTAAGCAAGTTGAACAAAGCGTAATACTACAAACTCAGTAGTAATTATTTCTAGTGATAAGATACACTATATATTATTATTTTTACTCGTCAGAACTTTTGTTTTTTAACCATCACTTATGTGGTACAATTGCCTAAATCACTTGACAAATTCTAAGCTGAATTACTTAAATATTACCTAATTTACTATTTAAATTCCTTTGTGCTCCTTACACAAATAAAACTTTAGTCTTGCAAAGGAGATTCCATTTTAATACAATTTTAATATTTATTTGGCTCACTAAAATAACGAAGCATATGAAAGGAAATATTGTTTATCCCGAAATAACTCAATAATTAAAGAATTTGTATAATATCTAAATGCAGTATTACTATGCAGGATAGCTTTTGGAATCAAATAGTTGGGGGCCAGTGGGCGCCAAGCTTTTGGGGCTGATCCCACACAGCTTTTCGGCAGCAGCTTTTAATGTCCCGCAATTCGAAAGCCCCGGAAATGGAATCGTGGTGTTTGGTGTCTGCTCTCCGCTGGCATTACTGCCATCGAGGGGTAAGCTGCTGGACGCCGGACAGCCGCCGTAAATTGCGACAATTGATTTCAATTTGTTGCATGCTGGTTGAGTGCAGAGAGAGTCGCCAGCGACACCATCAACGATGTTTGATTCGAAGCTGAGTCTGTGCGCGGGTCGCATGTTGGCCGATTCCACCACCACCCCCGCAATGGATGGATGCGATGCGGTCAAGACGCTGATATGCCGAGCCTGTCTGGTGCTGCTGGGTCCGCAGGACCCTGTCCACAATCTGGACAACGAACAGGACCTGGCCAGCAAGTACTACGGCTGCACTGGCGGGAATCCGGGCAAGGATTTGCCAACCCAGTTGGTGCTGAAAGGCATCTGCGAGTGCTGCTATCAAATGGTGCAAAAGTTCCACGACTTTCAACGCATGTGCGAAGAGTCCTTGCGCAATTTTGAGAAGCTGCTGCAGGACATCGACATGGGGTGCCTCAAGCTGGAGGACCACATGCCCGACCTGGACACCCCCTCGGAGAGCAACGAATCCACTAATCCGGAAGCCCAATCGGACGCACCCCGCCTGGAATCGCCGCAGGAGATTGTGAGTTTTATCTGGGCACAAGTGTGCGCCTCTGCCGTAATCTTATCTAGAATCACATTCGGTGCCCTGCTAGATGTGTTGCCTAGCAGCAAAGACACTACTTCTCCCCATTCCCCAATCGCGGCCATAAACAATAACATTTCAGGCGTTTGTTTGTGTTGTACTATTTTTGTTTGTGGCCGAATGTTTGGCGGTGATAGCACTCGAAAAGGAGGCGCGTCTAATCTATAGGTTATTTTTAGTTTTTCCCCTGCACATATAGGAATTCATAAAATTAGGCAGATAGCACACACCTCAATTTATGGCTGCTCCAAACAGAAAGCTGATTTTAGAGGCTTTTTAAAATATCCAGTTTTATCTAGAATATTAGGTTCCTTGCTTTCACGCATTTTAGATATTATTTATAGGTCCGTGTATAAAATCTTAAACAACTTAAGCTGATCAGTTACCCTAATGTTCAGGTCCCAAAATATTACTTGCATTTTATCATCTAAGTCGGGCGATAAGATAAAAGAGTGTATTCAGTATCATGCGAAAATTTCCACTTTAAAGAAATGGGTAACCAGATTTAGTTCTTACCCTTATTTTAAATTACCTACTAAGCCAGAACAGCTTTTTATATAATTTAATTATCTTACATTTTGAAGTTGTAGAATAGAAATATTATTTTTAATAGATGTTGTAATCATCTGCGAATCGCAGTTACCTTAATAGAAACGAACCCCGTGTAATATGGATACAATACCTACCTACCTTACCACCAAATTTCAGTTTGCTATGGTAATTAAATATAATGCCCTTTCTTTTGCAGGAGGAAGTGTACGTAGTAGAGGACGAGTCGGCCAAACAGGATCTGGGCACGGAGAAGCTACCCATTGCGACCATTAGAAAGTGGCTGGGCACAAGAAGGCGACGAGGAGTGCGACACACCCTCGAGTGCCGCATATGCCATCGTGGCTTCTACAAGTCCTCGCTGCTGGAGGCCCACATGCAGCAGCATGAGGGTCTGAAGCCGTATACCTGCGTCCATTGTGCCAAGAGTTATGCCAGGGCCAATCTGCTGGAGTCACACCTGCGGGATATGCATCACAACAGCGCCGCGAGGATAATCTATCCCTGTCCCAGCTGCAACAAGGTGTACACTGCGGACCGAAGTCTCAAGTATCACATGAAAAGAGCGCACGAGAACAGTCATATGCCAGAATCCTCCGATGCCCTGTACATTTGTGAGGAGTGCGGCAAGTCCTTTGTGCGAAAGGCACATTTAACGCGCCATAAGCGGGTCCATGGAAGCATAGAGGGTCGGAGATACTGCTGCGAGTACTGTGATCAGAGGTTTTACACCAAGGAGAACATGGTGGATCATCTGCAGCGAAAGCACGGAAACAAGAATCTGCTCAGATGCAAGCAATGCGGACGCATTTTCAGGAGCAGTGTGGAGCTTAGCGCTCACGCGAAGAAACACGAAACGATGTAGTTCAATAATTCGTTTTATTTGTGGTTTCAATAACATCAAGCTAACTCAACTGTTACAATGATTCGAATTACTTGGAATTTGTTACACCAGTATTGTAGGAAAATGCCGCATAAACGGAGATACTAAGACGAATGGTTGACGAATCGATGAGGCTGCCCTAAAATTAGCTAACATTCACATAATGGCCGGCGCAGCACAGTCGCTTAAAAAACATCAGTACAAAAGGCGGGCGGCGAAGGCGACGCGCGCAATCGTTCTCAAAAATAATCATGCGTATAAAAACAATTAACTAAAATTTATGCTTAATCTTAAAGAACGGACAGTTTTAAAATTACATTACCAATACATTCATATATCATTAATTTGTAGGGAGGAAAAAAATGAGAATAAAAACCAGATTATCCGTCTATCGATCGGCAATTACATAAGAAATGCACGGGGTCTTCTGCCAAATGAACTATCAGCATTAAACGTTGTAGAAATTGATCTGGTGATCCGGTGATACGGTGGTGATTGATGATTGGTTGTTGGTTGGCAGTACGATCGGATGAGTGGAGTTGCTTGCACTACATGTAAATAAATACGCCGCAATATGAGCATAGGAAATAGGACATTAGATTGCCAAACTCTAGGTGTCCTTGTGTTTCTCATAGAAGGCGTCTAGATATTTTTTGTACTCCTTTTGGTCGTTCCACATCATCGCGGCCTGCGCATTCAGTGGACTCTCGTTGTTCGGCTCGCCCAGCAGGGATTGTATGGACAGCAGAATGGTGCGCACATCGTACAGGGCTGACCACTTGTCCTTCAATATGTCCAGGCATATGGCGCCCTGCAGATCAACATTGGGATGGAAGCAGGACGTCAGGAACTTCACCACGGGCGCTGCATACGGGTAGGAGTTGGGAAAATCCAGTGACAGGCGGTACGTCTGCCCCGAATACACCGTGTTCCGTGGTCCCGCTATGGTGCCCACCCACTTGAAGATGTTCTCGCCGTCCGGGAACGCTGAGATGCCCTTCTCGTTGGCCATCATCAGGTTCATCAGTTCCTTGTGCAGTCTGTGGGTGTGTGTGTGTGGCGGCGTTGCATTATCTAGGCTGCTCCATGGGCCAATGCCCCACCATGTGTTACTCACCTTTTACTCACGGCGTGATTGTCTTTCACGGGCATGGAGTCATCGCTGTGCTTGGTGCCGCCGCCTCCTGCTCCACCACTTTGTTCGGGGCTGATATTCTGCGCCATGACTATATCTCTCTATGTGGGATGCTAGTGCTATCCGCTGTTTGGTTTACAGTATATGCGTGTCCTAATTTTGCGCGCGTCGTGGCGGTCGGGTCTCAATTCTCGATAATGATTATATGTACTGTATAGTGGAAATTTTGTTTGATCGGTCGGAATACGCGTCTGTTGCTTTTTCAGATATTTTTTTTTTCACTTTTGTGTGAAAACAAAATGGAAGGAGAACGAGAAGAAACTGTGTTTGGGCACAGGGTTGTATTTCATGTTTTTTTGGGGGAGTCGATACGCTCGCTTGGCTTGGTTGAACGGTCACACTGATAACGGACAAATATTTTAAAAATAATTTAAGATCCTAAACCAATAGAACTAAATGCTATTATTAAGGCGTACAAATATGTTTAAGTTTTTCATTGGGTAAATATATTTTTTGGTAGGCCTAATAGTAGATCTAACGAAATGATATGAAAGGGTTTTAATACCTATATAATCTTTGTTATATTTTAAACAATTAAACTAGAATATATATATTTAAAACCCTTTAAGCAATTTAAATAATTTTATTTCATAAAATTAAAATTTGTTTTTATTTTTAAATGTGCTCCAGAGTTGCAACCTGGTATGAATGCTTACCAACACTATTAGGTACACCGTCTTGTGTACGTATGTTGCGTACCCAGATATTTAGCGAAATCAAAACATTGAGGTAATCTTGGAAAATGGATGAAAATAGCTTGATCTACGGACTGGAACTGCAGGCTCGCGCCTTAACACCTCAGTATGGAGAGAGCAACGATGTGTGCTTTTTCATAGCCACCAACTCCTTGAAACCCACGAACCAGGTGCACCTAATTCAGTACGAGGAGGAACAGGGATCCGTGCAATCAAAGGTGAAAATCTGGGCTTACCAAAGGATGTGCTAAGTATATATCTCCTCACAGGTCTTTGAGCATGCCCTGGGTGAAGTGTGGAAACTGAATAGTTGCCCGCGTAATCCTCGCCTGCTGGCCTCCGTCTACAATGTGCAAAAAGGAGCACAAGTTCTCACCAAAGCGGCTCTGTTTACGCTGCCCGAGGATCTCAATCCTGATCCCGAGCAGCTGAAGTCGGAGTACCTGCCCTGGGAACAGGTTGAGGTCCTGGAAACTGAAGCACTGGGCGAACGTGTTAAGACCATCGAATTCCATCCCAATCAGGACACCCTCGCCTGTGTGGTGGACAACAAGGTGGCTGTGATGCAGCGCGCTGAAGCCTCCACTCGCGTGGTGGCTGAGGTGTCGGTTAGTGGGTCCTCCAGTGGATCTGCAAAGCATACACAGCATTTCACCACCGGCAAGTGGTCGCACCACCATCAGGGACACCAATTTCTCACCCTCCAAGATGGCAATCTGAGTGCCTACGATGTGCGGGATACACAGCATTGTGCCTGGAGCATCAACGATGCGCATGGACAAATGGTCCGTGACCTGGACTGCAATCCCAACAAGCAGTGCCATTTGGTCACCGGCGGTGACGATGGTTACTTGAGAATCTGGGACTGCCGCATGGCCAAGGCTCCGGTTTTCGAGCGCTCCGATCATTCGCATTGGGTTTGGTGCGTGCGCTTCAATACATTCCACGACCAACTGCTCCTCTCCAGCTCCAGTGACTGCAAGGTGCTGCTCACCTGCGCGGGATCTGTGAGTTCAGAGACACAGGTGCAGGCTGGACTAGATGATTCAAACTTCAGTGGTGCGGATGGCGAGGAGAGGCACAAACTGTTGCCAGATGGTCTGTTGCAGACCTTTGATCAGCACGAGGATTCCGTTTACTGTGCCGAGTGGAGCAATGTGGATCCGTGGATCTTTGCTTCCCTCAGCTACGATGGCCGCGTCATAATCTCAAAGGTGCCCAAGCAGTACAAGTACCAGATTATATTTTAAGCCATTAGTTTCTTAAATTATTACACATATTTCATAGTTTAAACTAACTAAACGGATTGTGTCCTTGTATGTAGCAGGTTATACAAATATTAAACCAATAAGTTATTAAATGTAGACATATATACCGAAGGAGTAAAGCTTATTAAGAGCATTTGCAATGTTCAACCTGTATCCTCAGATGTGCAGTCGGAGGAATCATTGGGATTTGCAGTTTCCACGGAGCAAACTCGTTTGATCAGCTCGTTTTCGATCTCCACAGTGCCATTGTCCACTGCCTCCTCCATCTGCACGTACTCGATGGTGGCGGCACTCTTTTTGGTGGATAAGACAGGCTTTGGTGCAGCGGGCGCAGGTGTTTCTGTAGCCTTTTTGGCCTGGGCTTCCGTATCATCCTCGGCTTCCTCCGCCAAACTGCTTCTCTGCGGCTGAACTTCGGCGTAAATGGCGGGGAACTGCAACTGCAGCTTCTGCTTGATGACCCTTATCTTTCGAAATATGTAATCCAGATCCTTCTTCATTTCGCTTAGGCATTTGACATGTCTTTTGAAATCCTCGCTGGCACTTTTCAGACGACTCTGCGACAGGGCATTGCAGTTGAGCAGCATCTCGTTGGTCTTCTCAAAGCGCTGCAGCCTGTAGAATGTATTTTGTTTAATTAATATAATCTCTGTGGTTAAATTGCATCGCTTACATTTGCTTTTGAGCCCTAATCATGGTTTCCACATCGCCCTGATTCACCATTCCTGCGAGACTTTGAATAAAAGCCTCGGCGGCGGAGTTGCCAAAGCCAGTGAAGGACTCCAAGTCAGGAGTGGCATCAGCGGACTGATGCACATCCGTAAGGCCCAAGTGGCTCATTGTAGCCTAGAAATCATTTGTTTATATTCTGGGGACTAACAATAATTGATTTGTTTACTTACTTTTCAAGGTCTGTTTCTTTGAGACAAGCTGAACTCTGCTTTGTGTGCAGTTTCCTGGCAGTTTTATTTTTCATTAATTTGTGTTTACGTTTTCAAATAGATTTCATGTTTGTATCTATTTTAAAATTTCTTTTGGAAATTTATAGAAATTTATATATAGAAGATTTCTATAGGAAAAATAAAAAATATGTTCGTAACAGCTGATTTACTAGGTATTAACCAGTGCTGCAAAATACCAAATCGCAGAAGCACTGGCCAAATTAATTTTAAACACTTAAATGAAACACTTGTATGAATAACATTTGCCTGGTTATTTGTTCAAGAGTATTATTTGTTCAAGAATAACCAAGCAAATGTTATTCATACAAATGTTTGAAATGTTATAATATTTATTTTAAAATATTTATTCATAAAAAATATTTAAAATACAATATAAAATTCTTGTTAAGAAATTGATTACCCTACACTGAAAGGGTCATATATTTTTATGTTTATTCGTATACAAAGTGCTACTAAATTAATCACGAGCTGTAAGTAATTAAATAATAATCTATTATTTTGTCATAATTATATTAGTGAGCGAAATAGTGAGGTCTTTAATGTGAGTATTAAAAATTGTCTTAAATAAAGCCTGAAGAATGCTTAACTTACTGTTGGAACACAGAGTTACTGCCGCTTTTCATATTTGTTTAGGAAACATATTTTCTTGTAGCCCTATAATTCCCAACTAGTTCTGGTGAAGACAGTAAGGCATGTCTTCTAATTTAGAGTTACCGGTCGAGCAGTGGGTGTAGTGTATGTGTAGTGTATGTATGTACGTATGTACGTATGTATGTATGTACGTATGTATGTACGTATGTATGTACGTGTGTGTGTGTAGGTAAGTATGTAGGTATGTATGTATGTATGTATGTGTGTATGTATGTGTGTATGTATGTGTGTATGTATGTATGTATGTATGTATGTATGTATGTATGTATGTATGTATATATGTACGTATGTATGTATGTATGTATGTATGTGTGTATGTATGTGCTACTTGCACAAAGTAGTAAAAATTGTCCTAATTAAAGCCTGAAAAATGTTTTACTTACTGGCGGAACACATAGTTATTGCCGCTTTTAATATTTGTTTAGGAAACATATTTCCTTGTAGCCCCTTAATTCCCAACTAGTTCTAGTAAAGACTGTAAGGCATGTCGTCTAATTTAGAGTCACATAATATTTCAAGTAATCAAGTAATCATCATTTCAAGTGATGATAATATTTAAAATATCATAAAAAAAGTATCGATATTTGGGCAAAAACAATATCACGATATAAATATACAATTTTCAGAAAAAAATATCGATACATTGATATTTTGATATGTTATATTATCAACAACCCTAGTTTCTTCATTTATTCTTGGTTTAAACGTGCAATATGAAGCTTGCTCCGACTGTTAAGCTAAACAATGGCTACGAGATGCCAGTTTTGGGTCTCGGCACCTACAACGTAAGTTTATACTTATCATCGCTAGTGCTTATCAATCAAGAGACTGATATGTTCATGGAACATTCTACCTTTCCATTCCAATAAAGCCCAATTGTGAAATTGAAAGTTAATTATGTTATCTGTAGCTCAAGAAGTCTCGTTGTGAAACAGCAGTGTGCCACGCACTTGAAATGGGCTATAGGCATATAGACACCGCCTATTTGTACAGGAATGAAAGCATTATAGGCAAGGTTTTAGCTAAACTTATAGGCGACCAGAAACTAAGACGCGAACAGGTGTTTCTGGTCACAAAGGTAGGATATAGTATATATTGTTACCAGAACATGTATACAGATCGAAAATCAATATCCAATTAGCTGTGGGACATATATCACGAACCCAAGATGGTGAAACACGCCTGTGAAATGCAATTAAAGCTGCTGGGCGTGGATTATATAGATCTATATCTGATGCATTCGCCCGTGGGTGTGGACTATGTCTCAGATGATGATCTGATGCCCCACGAGAATGACCAGCTAAGAACCAAGTGAGTTTTGGATACAAGAAGCTTAATGCGGAGTAATCGAATTTTCTGAAACTTGAAACTGATCTTTGGAATTCGTAGCGATGTGGACTATGTGGACACCTACAAAAGCATGGAGCAATTGGTACATCTGGGACTGGTACGCAGTTTGGGATTGTCCAACTTGAATGCCAGGCAGCTGAAGAGAGTACTAGAACACTGCCAAATCAAGCCTGTGAGCCTTCAAATCGAATGCCATCTGGAATTGGTGCAAATCCCCTTAATTGAGCTCTGTAAATTCCACAACATCACGGTAGTCGCCTATTCGCCACTGGGGCGTCCCAAAGCCTGTAATCCTCTGCCGGAATACTATACTGATTCCAAACTACTAGCGTTGGCAACGAAGTACGGCAAGACTCCAGTTCAAATCATCCTACGATACTTGGTATAAACAATCTTGATATTGGAAAGTGAAGATATTTATGGCTAAAAAATAAAAATGCTTCACAGATCGCCATTGGCACAGTACCTATTCCAAAAGCTGCCCAGCGAGCCCATCTCGTCGAGAATCTGGATATATTTGATTTCCACCTAACGCCGGAGGAGTTGCTTCAGTTGAAGAGCTTCAATACAGGGCGAAGAATCTGGAAATTTGAAAAAGCCAAGAATCATCAGTACTATCCTTATTAACAATATATTATATAAATTGTAACAATATAAATAGAAAGAATCTCGTTAGTTAGTTTACATCGTTCCAATTAATTAGTTCAGTTTTCACATACTTGAGTTATTTTTTTAATTTAGTTATTACAACATTATAAGAAGTTATAAAACGTGAAAAAATTCACCTTCAAGTGCTTGCCAATTCATCATACATATATAAATATATTATTTTGTGCTAGATATGATCTGAAACCGAAGCAATGATATGAAAAGCGAACACGACAAGTAAATGCAAACAGTCATAACACATAAGCAAATTAATCTTTAAGTGCTTACCTGGCGAAATAATAATTTGTATTTTAAATCGTCTCATCAAAGATTATCGTATCTTTCCTGAGCTTTTCGACGTTGCTCAATCACATAACCTCGGATGTGGTTTCGATTTGTCATTTCTCTCACTCCGAAGTGCTTACAATGTCCTTTGTGAAACGAACCCGATTTTCTGGTCGAAAAAACAATAAACTGATCTCCAAAGCCGTCTTATAAAACACATAGTTGGTTCTGTCGAAAGAAAGAATGTTATTGGTGGATTTCATATTCTTTATTTGCAGTCTAAGGACAACGAAGGCGAGGCCGCTGTGAAGCACGCGATCGATGTGGGCTATCGCCATATAGATACTGCATATTTATACCAAAACGAGGCCGAAGTGGGCAAGGCGATTCGGGACAAAATCGCAGAGGGAGTGGTCAAGCGAGAGGATATATTCCTGGTCACAAAGGTAAATGACATGAATATGTTCTAGTTCTATCGATAAGATTATATTTTGTTGCAGCTTTGGAACGTTTTCCACGATCCTGAGCTCGTTGAGGGCATTTGCCGCAAACAACTGAGCAATTTTGGCTTGGATTACATCGATCTGTATCTGATGCACATGCCAGTGGGCTACAAATATGTTGATGACAACACCCTGTTGCCTAAGAATGAGGACGATGTGCTCCAACTAACCGATGTCGACTATCTGGATACCTACAAGGCCATGGAAAAGTTGGTGAAACTGGGGCTGGTACGCAGCATTGGAGTTTCCAACTTCAATAGCGAGCAGCTGGCACGTGTTTTGGCTAACTGCGAGATCAAGCCCGTCAATAACCAGGTGGAGTGCTCTCCTACCCTCAACCAGAAGGCTTTGACAGCCTTCTGCAAGAAGAACGACATTACTTTGACTGGCTACACGCCTTTGGGAAAGCCCAAACCGGATATCAAGAAGCCGGACTATATTTATTCCCCGGAGGTGGCTGTAATTGCCAAAAAATATAACAAGACTGCACCCCAGGTTGTCCTGCGTTACCTGGTAATTGAGTACTTAGCCGACCTCAGCGATAGCATCTAATTTACCTTTATTCCGCAGGTCGGTCTGGGTGTCATTCCCATTCCCAAGTCATCGAATACTAACCGAATTTCTGAAAACTTCGATATCTTCGATTTTGAGCTGACAACCGAGGAAGTGGCCGTTCTCGATGGGTATAACACTGGCGAACGTGTGGCGTCATTAAATTTGATCAAGGATCAAAACCACAAGTACTTTCCCTTTTCAATTGAGTTTTAAAACCAAAAGAGAGCCTTGTTGCTGTAGCACAAATATAGTACATACATAGTAATACATTTGTTACACGTATACACTTGTTACAATTTGAATGCACGAATATATGTACATACCTTCTTATACACACAAATCCGTCCAGTTGCCAACTATCCACACACCACCATGGAACGTGTTCCCAGAAAAGAGGAGCAAATGGAAGCATCGATCTTTGGCACGGCACGTTTGACATCCAAGCTGAAAGGTGAAAATGTTTGAATAAGACCAAATGAAAATATTACGCTTTTACGACCAATGGTAATGCGAATACGTTTTCTTAGAAGAAATTTGTCTGCTCTGCCTAAAATAGTTATAATCCTTTAATTTCCATATCATTTTTAAGGACACATTTTTGTTTAACAACGTTCTCGTATCAATGGATCTTACATTCTGATTTTTCGCCAAAAAATATCATGCGGAAGCTTTTATTTGCGCCAGAAGCATACATGAATCATAAAAGTATTATGGCTATTAGTTGATGTACCAATTACACCCGAAAAATAAAAAAATATTTTCGTAACAAGTTATTAACCAGTGCTGCAAAGTGCCAAATTGCAGAAGCAATGGAAAAATTAATTTTGAACATATTGCAAAAAAAAAAAATAATAATAATTGGCATTTATTACAATATTTGCTCCATCTAGGCTAAATAATCTTTTAATTAGCTTTTTAAACACTTAAAAATATTTCAATAATAAAGCTTAGCAAAATGGCAGGGGTATTTTCCTGCAAAGCCGTTTTGGTCACACTACGCTCACCGGCTTTCATATTTAGCAATTGAGTTTATTTATTCTTGGTTTAAACGTGCAAAAGAAGTCTCGCTGTGAGGCTGCAATGTGCCACGCCCTTGAAATGGGCTATAGGCATTGCCTATTTGTACATGAATGAAAGCATTATAGGCAAGGTTTTAGCTAAACTTATAGGCGACCAGAAACTAAGACGCGAACAGGTGTTTCTGGTCACAAAGGTGGGATATAGTATATATTGTTACCAGAACATGTATACAGATCGAAAATCAATATCCAATTAGCTGTAGGGCATATATCACGAACCCAAGATGGTGAAACTCTCCTGTGAAATGCAATTAAAGCTGCTGGGCGTGGACTATTTAGATTTATATCTGATGCATTCGCCCGTGGGTGTGGACTATGTCTCAGATGATGATCTGATGCCCCACGAGAATGACCAGCTAAGAACCAAGTGAGTTTTGGATACCAGAAGCTTAATGCGGAGTAATCGAATTTTCTGAAACTTGAAACTGATCTTTGGAATTCGTAGCGATGTGGACTATGTGGACACCTACAAAAGCATGGAGCAATTGGTACATCTGGGACTTGTGCGCAGTTTGGGATTGTCCAACTTGAATGCCAGGCAGCTGAAGAGAGTACTAGAACACTGCCAAATCAAGCCTGTGAGCCTTCAAATCGAATGCCATCTGGAATTGGTGCAAATCCCCTTAATTGAGCTCTGTAAATTCCACAACATCACGGTAGTCGCCTATTCGCCACTGGGGCGGCCCAAAGCCTGTAATCCGCAGCCGGAATACTATACTGATTCCAAACTACTAGCCTTGGCTAAATCATCCTACGATACTTGGTATAAACAATCTTGGAATTGTAAAGTGATGAAGATATTTATTGGCTAAAAAATAAAAATGCTTCACAGATCGCCATTGGCACAGTACCTATTCCAAAAGCTGCCCAGCGAGCCCATCTCGTCGAGAATCTGGATATATTTGATTTCCACCTAACGCCGGAGGAGTTGCTTCAGTTGAAGAGCTTCAATACAGGGCGGAGAATCTGGAAATTTAAAAAAGCCAAGAATCATCAGTACTATCCTTATTAACAATCAATTATATAAATTTTGACAAATTAAATAGTAAGAATCAATAAGAATTCAATTAATTAGTTTAGTTTCTTGCTTTTTTTATTAGTTTACTTAGGTATTACAAAATTACAAAAAGTTATAAAATGTGAAAAAATTGCCATAAAAGTGCGTGCCAAGCGTAATCATATATAAATATATTTTGTGCTACATATGATCTTCTAAAACGCGAACACGACAAACAACTGCAGTCATAAAACAAAAGCAAATTAACCTTTTAAGTGCTTACCTGGCGAAATAATAATTTGTATCCTAATCGTCTCATCAAAGATTATCGTATCTTTCCTGAGCTTTTCGACGCTGCTCAATCACATAACCTCGGATGTGATTTCGATTTGTCATTTCGCGACTCTCCGAAATGCTCACAATATCCTGGGTGAAACGAACTCGATTTTCTGGTCGAAAAAAACCATAAACTGATCTCCAAAGTCGTCTTATAAAACACATATTTGGTTCTGTCAAAAGGAAGAAGGTTAATGGTGGATTATTTGCAGTCCAAGGACAACGAAGGCGAGGCCGCTGTGAAGCACGCGATCGATGTGGGCTATCGCCATATAGATACGGCTTATTTCTACCAAAACGAGGCTGAAGTGGGCAAGGCGATTCGGGACAAAATCGCAGAGGGAGTGGTCAAGCGAGAGGATATATTCCTGGTCACAAAGGTAAATGACATGAATATGTTCTAGTTCTATCGATAAGATTATATTTTGCTGCAGCTTTGGAACGTTTTCCACGATCCTGAGCTCGTTGAGGGCATTTGCCGCAAACAGCTGAGCAATTTTGGCTTGGATTACATCGATCTGTATCTGATGCACATGCCAGTGGGCTACAAATATGTTGATGACAACACCCTGTTGCCTAAGAATGAGGACGATGTGCTCCAACTAAGCGATGTCGACTATCTGGATACCTACAAGGCCATGGAAAAGTTGGTGAAACTGGGGCTGGTACGCAGCATTGGAGTGTCCAACTTCAATAGCGAGCAGCTGGCACGTGTTTTGGCTAACTGCGAGATCAAGCCCGTCAATAACCAGGTGGAGTGCTCTCCTACCCTCAACCAGAAGGCTTTGACAGCCTTCTGCAAGAAGAACGGCGTCACTTTAACGGGGTATACGCCTTTGGGAAAGCCCAAACCGGATATCCAGAAGCCGGACTTTATCTATTCCCCGGAGGTGGCTGTAATTGCCAAAAAATATGGCAAGACTGCACCGCAGGTTGTCCTGCGTTACCTGGTAATTGAGTACTTAGCCGACCTCAGCGATAGCATCTAATTTACCTTTATTCCGCAGGTCGGTCTGGGTGTCATTCCCATTCCCAAGTCATCGAATACTAACCGAATTTCTGAAAACTTCGATATCTTCGATTTTGAGCTGACGGCCGAGGAAATGGCCGTTCTCGATGGGTATCACACTGGCGAACGTGTGGTGCCATTAAATTTGATCAAGGGTCAGAACCACAAGTACTATCCCTTTTCAATTGAGTTTTAAAACCAAAAGAGAGCCTTGTTGCTGTAGCACACATATAATATAATAAATTTGTTACACATAAATCTATGACAACAATTTGAATGCACGAATGTACATACCTACTTATACACACAAGGTCAGTGTGCCTTGATGCTTTATTAAATCCGTCCAGTTGCCAACTATCCAAACACCACCGTGGAACGTATTCCCAGAAAAGAGGAGCAAATGGAAGCATCGATCTTTGGCACGGCACGTTTGACATCCAAGCTGAAAGGTGAAAATGTTTGAATAAGACCAAATGAAAATATTACGCTTTTACGACCAATGGTAATGCGAACTGCTCAAACTTGGAGCTCCCCAATGGAGATCTGGGCTTAAATGTTACATCTGGTGAATACCAGCATTATTTCCATCATTTCTATAGTTTTTGAGACATTGATTGATGATTGTTTTGTGCACAGATTTGGCAAACTCTAGTGCTATTTTCGGAAGTGCAACAAGCTTTTCTACAATAATTTGAATAAAATAGAAAAAAAGGTGCGTAAATGAGAAATGCAAAACTATGTGGCTTTAAGATACATATGATATGATATTTAGAATACTGTTTCTTAGAAGAACTTGTGCTGATTACCAGCTGTAAGTCTATAATAGTTATAATCCTTTCATTTCCATATAATTTATGAGGACCCATTTTTGTTTCTCAACGTTCTCTTATCAATGCATCTTACATTCTGATGTATCGCCAAAAAATATCATGCGGAAGCTATTAGTTGCGCTAGCCGCATAAATGAAGCATGAAAGTATTATGGCTATTAGTTGATGTACCGAATTACGCCCGAATGGCTAATTATTTTTGGATTGCTGAGTACATTTTGGGTTAATCGCTGCCAGAGACCTTTGTAAATAGCACCTCGCCATGGGGTGACGTCAGAGCCAAATAAGATGAGCACGGACTGAATGAAATTGGGGTCGTCTAGCCTTTGAGCCGCCCCAAAGCAGCTGTGACTTCTGGGAGACTGGATGAGTGGTGGAGTGTGGCTCACTGCTGCTCCGCGAGGCAATTAGAGGAGAATCTCTGGCATGCGCCACCTTGACCCAGGCCAAGAATATCATAACAAGAAGACGTCAGCCTTTCGAAACCACTTTCCATGCAGATGGCATCTCCCAGCTCGGCTTGTGCTCCACTGAGCCGCTGAGCCGCTGAGCCGCTAAACCGCTGAGCCTCTCCACTCAACCAAAATGCGACTCAAACGATTGAGTGAGTGAAATCGCTTCGGCCGAGAGCGAGGTTTAAATAAATTTTCAGTCAAAAAATTGGCAGTTTCGCTCCAAGCGTGCCCACGTTCACATCACGTCGCCAGTTCAGTTGCGGAACTCACACGGATATATATATCTTCCGGCGATCAATTAGAGCCCGGAGTTCAGGCAGCGCGTATAAATATTGTTACATAAGATTAACAACTTGTGAAATCCACGCAGTGCCAGTGCGTAAAACCAAAAGTGAGTTGAGCTCAGAATTACCCCCCATAACGTCTCCAACTAGCGCCTCGCTTACAAAACCAAAAAGGATCCAATCGTGCATTATGTAAAGGCCCGAGAAAAGCTGGTGGCGGTGAAAAACTTTCGCTTTCACCCAAGTACAGCTCTCTGCAGCTGTTGCGCATGCGCAGATACATTTGCAGATTGCTACTGTTTGCCGGGGATTTCCAGGCCGCACTTTGTTGCACGGCAAAGTGTCGACTTGAATGGATCAGGTTCCAAAATAGGATATATTGGTTATATTGAAGGAAAATGGGTTCCTAAAGCGATTATATGCGATATTTAACTAGCTTTATATCTAAGTACAACCTTTTACATAAAGTGCCTTGTTAAATATCATAGAATTGTTAGTATCCGATAGATACATGATGTGCATCCTGATTTCAGTAAATTCTTATGTTAAATTTATATATTTTTTAAAGGGGTTTCTTAATAGGTTTAATTAGAACAGTATTTTTTGTTTACTTTGTAGATGTGCCAAAATATCACAAAGCAAAACTAATGTATTTCAGTAAATTAGAGATATTTTTGACATATTTTGCAAGCTCCATTTCAAGCTCTTTCAAGAATTTTTCCCGGTGTAGCACTTGAGCACCTTAGAAGCTGGCACTAAACTAGGTGCGAGGGTGGAGCCAAACGAAAATTGTATAGTTTTTTTTAGAGCCTTTTAATTGTGCTTTATTGACCCACTGCGAGTGCTTTGCGCCAGCCAATTATTTTACGGCCGATAGTTTGCAGCTCTTCGAGAGTTTTGTAATTCTGTTTGCTGGCTTAATTGCCCAGCCACAAGAGGCCCGGCCTACAAGGTCTTCTCGGCCGACAGCCGAAGTTGGCCAACACAACACCGTAAAAGCCAAGTGGTTGGAAAACGTACTCAGTGCAATGCAATTTGTGCGGTTCGCATATAAATATTCATGGCAAGTGGCTATTGTGCAATTGCCAGGGACACACCAATCGACGTGACGGTTTCCTTTGACCAACAGCCACGACCTCGTCGTTAATTCTGCAGAATGGGTGCCGCATATCTAGTACGAGTATGTCCACCTTCGGTGGCCAGCTTGCTAGTTTTCCAGCTTTTCAGTTACAAGTGCAGCCTAATGGCGTTTAAAGGCCCTGCCTTGACCAACGGAATGGGCCCCAAAGCCTTGGGATTGGAACGTGGTTAGCCTGGCTAATGAATTCCGCTCTCTGTAATCAGTGCCATTAGATTCTGACACATGAATATAAAGCGCTACTCATCCGGGGAACATTAGCGAACTGTTGTCGTAATTGTGGCAAAATGCAATCTGCATGATAATCCGGAAAGGCAGATGCAAATCGCCGAGTCGTAAATTCAACTGTTTGCCCATTCGTATCTCGAAATTGAGTCAAAGCAAACCAATATTGCCAATGTGCACGGTCATGGGGTGGGATTGGGCAAGTGCACGGCGAGAAATTTTGGGGTTTTTTTGCGCAAAAAACCTTGCTCTTGAATCTGCCCTAATCATATTTGTGGACAATGAGGCATGGCTGAAAAACACCAGTCATTCGATGAATACTCGTACCTGTTACGCCAAACAACATGTATTCGATAAGGGGATTTACATAAGATTATAAGGCATTAATAATAATAAGATCTTTGAGGTAATAGGTGAGATAATTATAGGGTATCAATCATAATCGTTTGGTTAATTGGATTGGATCTTCACTAGATATTATCAAGAATAGTGCAAGTCTTGTTGTTGATATATTGAGTGATTTGATATGACATCTTGATGGTTCACATTTTTTGAATGAGCAGTGCCGGATGCGAGTCGCAGTCATTTCTCACCGTGTAATGGGAGTGGACGGGGTCGAGTGGTGGGATGGAATAACCAGTTTTGAGCATTTCTCGGGCATTTTGAGCCTGCACTCTTTACTCTTACCAAAAGTTGGCGACTTGGTGTGCGGGATCGCTAAGACGGAGGTACTTCGGTTTGCCAGCTTTTATGCTGTGATATGATGTAACCGGCGGGCTAATTGGCGGATCGGAAAACGGACGCAACAGAAACGATAACGAAATTACAAATCGCATGTTTCACTGGTCCCAGTGGACGACAGACAGCGGATAGCGGACAGCGGACATCTTCAGCACGCCATGGTATCGCATGGCCCATAAATGATCGAGTTACCACAGCCCGGACTTTCATACTATATACATACCTATACTTATATTGGACGTATTCAAAGCGGGCAATTCCACACGTTCAATTTATTTTACTTCAGCGGTTCGATTGCGTTGGAAACTGTGTGAAGGCCATGAAAGTGAACAAACTGGTCATAAACAGTTTGTTGACCAAAAAATAGTTGGACCATCCAACCCAGAGCCAGCCCAGCCAGCCCAGCCAGCCAGCTGCCATCCGATCCGCAATTACTGGGCGGTTACTCCGCAGCCTGGCGCATCTTTCTCTCGACCTTCGTCGGGGTTTTTACGACTAGAAATTTAAATGGGCTCCGAAATGACAACACCCGTGGTGAGCCACCAAACATTCGATTCGTATGCAAAGCAGTCAGTCTGTCAGCCGGCGGATTGGATTTTGGGTCACGGTCAATGGACCTGTGTAAGACCAATGAAATGTAGTGAGGCGAAAAAATAGCGGAAATGCCAGCATCTCTGGGCGAGATTGGCCAACCGATCGCATTTGGCTGTGGGCAACTTTTTTGACTCCAACTGCCGAAGTAACCCACGCAAGCCATTGCACCCTGGTCGCTTGAAGCTATCGCCATCACCATCACCATCACCATCGCCATCGCCATATCCAGTTCCAGTGCCAGTTCGCCAGACATTGTGCAGTCAAGAGTCAAGTGGGATTAATTGGTATGCATAGATATACGAGTGATACTCGTATGGAGGAGCTGGTGGTGGTGGTCCAGTAAACTGCGCTGACCCTTGAGAGTTCGATGAATTTTAACATTTTGGATTGCACAACCGCCACCGACCAAGGGCAACCGGCCAATTATGAGTCGGTGGTGTCAGCCGTGAAGAAATCTGGCTATCTGGCAGCGGCCACTTAGCCACTTGGCCATTTTAGTCCATTATTTCGCTTACTGCCGGCCAAAAACTGCAGTTCGATGTGGTTAAGCGATATATCGCTTGGGAGGGAGAAATATTTAAGCTGGTCCATAAATTGCTTATTCGCATTCAAGCGATCCCAATCTAAGATAACTATGACTTCATTTTACATTCGTTTACATATATTTTCGTTCATAGAGTTCAAGTTTAAATCGGTAATTAAAATGAGGAAAACAACCCTATAGCTTTTTCAGCAAAGTTATAATTTTTACAGTAGTTGTAATTATCTATGATGAACACCAGGGCAGTAGGGGAGTAAGACTTAGTTTTTTTGTAAAATAAAAACGCAACTATTTTAAATAGTTATCTTAATAGTTGCGT